GGTCATTCACCTGTCAGTTTGTTCCATGTTTTCATGTCCGTGGTTCTATTTTGTTTGTTAGTTTATTTTGCTCATTAGATTGTTCCTCCTTCTTGATTTGCAAGTCTGATGGGTTTTATCCAGTACCCTCGGGATTCAGTCTCATGTATAATCTTTAAATTCCTGTGAGTCGTTGCCATTTTGGGGGGCTGTCGTTCGTTTCCTCCCTGAGTAGACCCAGCACATCCCTGTCTGGTTTGTGATGTGACTTGACCTTAATGAATAGGTGTGGTGGCCCAGGAGAGGAGGTGGGGGATCGACCCTGGGGGACTCTGTTTCACTGCTAGGCAGAAGCCTCTGTCTCCAGGAAAGGGGCAGGGGGGCAGTGCCAGCTTTTAACAGGGAGAAGGGAGGAACAGGCCAGATATTCAGGGAAGTCTGAGGACTTTGAGGGCTCAGGTGCATCAGTCAGGACCCTGGTTTCTGGGTGGCAGACCTCTCCGGGTTGAGGATTCCATTTTCTTTGGAATTCTGCTATTCTTATAAGTTCTGGGTTTGATCCTAAAATGTTTCTGATATCTGGCCACAGTCTGTTTAAACAGGGTGGGGCAAAAGCAGGTTTACAGTTGTGAGTACACAAAACAGAGTTTGTTCTTGTAATATTATTTAGTATTGTACTATTTTTCATATAAACAATTGTAAACCTACTTTGCCCCACCTGTATGCTGCCAGAGATGCCCTCTTGTTTTGCCTTCTACTGGTTATTAATCATCCTCAGCTATTAATTCTTTCTAAATGCTTTCATGGTCCCCAGAAACACTCATCCAAATTCCAGAGTCCTTGTAATAATTATTTCTCCCAAACTTCTCAAGCATCTAAGATATTGCCCCTGCAGGACAGTTTCTCCTTCCAGGGCCCCCTCCCCATTCACCTCTGGTGGAAGGTTTAACAACTGCATGACTACAACATTTCATGGCTCATTGCCTCCTGATCAGGGAGTGGTCCAGCTCCAATCACCCCATCTTAGAGTCTTCTTCCTGGAACTACTCTTGGTATCCCAGGGTACCTTGCCCATGAAACACACAGTGAGACCCTGAGATTATCAGGTGGGAGGTTTACTGGGGAGTGGTCTCCAGACCAACGCCTGTGAACAGTGAGGGAAGCTGGTCTGGACAGAGACCTTAGCTAATTGGGAGCTTTGGAGCTGGAACGTCCCTGTGGAGTTGTTTCAGGTGAGGCAAGGAGATCAGGATCTTGCATCCCTCACGATGACTAGCAAAAGAGTGGGTGTAAACTTGGGGGAAACAGCTTCCTTTAGCCAAGGGCATTTCCTGTGCAGGGATCTAACTGTGCCATCAGAGGCCAGCACTGCTGGCAGCTGAGTGCCTTGGTCCTAAGAAAGACCTGGGTGATACACCACAGCATCTTCAGAAGGAGCTTCACCTCTCACTCTGTGGGAAACATGGCCACACACTGAGAATGGCAAAATGAGGAATGGAATGAGCCTGAGGACTTGTGCTACCACTAAATGGACAAATCAGTCCTGGGATAGTCTGTCTCAGGCTCGTAAGTAAATAAGATGTCCTTTCAGTTTAAGACATTCTTACCTAAGAGTGACCAGTTACTTGAAACCAAGAGCATTCTCGCTCACACATGTTATTATCTCATTTACTCATCAGTTACTCTGATATAAGGATTATTATTATTTCCATTTCAAAATTATAGAACTAAAGGTTAGTGTAAGTGGTCCAAGGTCATGTAGCTAGAAATTGGTGAAGCCCCATCTAAACCATAATCACTACCTACATCCAAAGTCCATGCTCTTCTACCTTTTATAAACATCTGTGGGACAGCTGATCAAACTGAAAGGGAAATGCCACCATCCCCAAGATATGAAGAGAATGTACCTAAAGAACTAGTGGGTACCAGCAGAGCTGCCCTCAAGATGCCCACTGTCCCCTGACTTGTTATAGTAGGTTTGGTGGTCACCCCAAAATCCTATGTCCACATTCTGATTGCCAGAACCTATAAATGTGACCTTATGTGGACAAAAAGAGACTTTGTAGATGTCAGTAAGTTAAGGATCTTGAGATGAAGCAATCCCTGTAGGTTATCTGGGAAGGCCCTAAATGCACACAGGGAAGACAGACAGACAGACAGACAGACAAGAAAAAGAGGGAGTGTGACCATGGAGACAGAGGTTAGAGTAGTGGAGCCACAAGCCAAGGAGCCTCTGAAGGTACCAGAAGATGAAGGAGGAAAGAGCAAGGCCGAAATCTTTTCTAGAGCTTTTGAAGAGAGCACAATTCAGCCAGCCCCTTGATTATGGACGTCTGGCCCAGAACAATGAGAGAATAAATTTCTGTTGTTATATCCTACCAAGTTTGTGTGACTTTGTTACAGCAGCTTCAGGAAACTAATACACCTGGCTCCTTCTCTTTTATTCTAGGCTTGTGGTAGGCAGTTAGACAGACAGCAGCAGAGCAAGGACGGCAGGCCACTGGCAGAAGGTCACCAGGGCAGAGAGCTCCAGGTGCCTAGCAACAGGGCAGAATTGGGAAAACAAGGACTTTACCTCCAGAGTGACCTTTCCTCGTCTAGCATATTGCTGGGCATGTGGTTTTGAACCCTTGACCTTTCCTGTCAGTGGTCATGCAGTTTTAGACCCCCTGACCTTTCATATCTCTGTTCATGCAATTCAGACCCTCCCCTGACCTTTTCTCCCCTGGCATGTTGCTAGTCACATGGGTTAGACCCCTTGCAGGGGGAATGAACAAGGGCCCTGGAGAATAGCTTTTAAGCATTAAGCCCCCAGAACGATGAGGTTCTGACCCACATCAAATACATTCAGGCCTCCGTTGTATTTTAGCTCCAGGACCAGAAAAGCAGCAAAGTCAGACAAGTGACACCGTGGCTGACATCGGGACCAGTTGTGCTGACTAATGACCCTCTGCCCTGGCATTGACCAATCAGTAGAGACCATGACCCTGAAAGAACTCATGTAGACAGCTGACGAATGTTCTACTGGGATCATCCCAAGACTTTCAGAGAAATACCCGCAAGACAGAGGACCCAGCACAGTTCTCTCTGTGGAACACACAGCACGTTCCCCCTCCCCATCTCCCCGGGTGCTCTTTTCTTGCCTCTCTCTCCTGAGCTCCAAGGGTCTTTCTTTTGCCTCTGTAGTTCATTTCCTGAACCAATTTCTTCTACACCTCACTTCTTCTGCCACTGTGATTTTATAAATAGACTTCCTATTACAGTTTGAGTCTTGGCTCTGAATTATTTCTTAGCCAGAACTCAAGTACCAAGGTTGCTGAACCAAGGTCCAGTCTGACTCCATGTAGCTGACTATATTCTTTATGTGGTGAATTTGTGTTGGAATCCTTTGTACGTTAAGGATAGAATGTAAACTACTTCCTCAGTAGAGAGTGAGCATTTTCCTGAACAGTAGGTCCACAGCCATTATATTCTCAATAGGGCCTCAGTAAGATAAAAAAAAAAAAAGACTCTAAGAATTTCTGAGAGTTTGGGCAAGTGGAAGAATGAGAAGCAGCTGAGTTCTTTGAGAAATAAGAAAAAAGAATATAAAAAATACAAAGAGATTGTTCCCAATATTTGGAAGCAGCTTTCTAACCCAGTGTCTCTGGTTAGAGGATTGAAATTCTTATCTTTAGAAAGGTTTGGCTGCTCATAAATGCAGGTGAGGGAGCAGAAATTACAGAGGTTTTACAAAGGAGACTACAAAGGCAAGCTCTGTTTCACCCAGAGTCTAAAGGAAAGGAAACGTTCTTTCTGGACAGAAGGTTAGGAGGTTACAGAGAAGTTAAGATACTGTAGTTAAACCTTGTAGGTGATTGAAAAAGACAAATTTTCTTTCAATGACAAATAAGTAAAAGGCTGTCTCAAAAGTGTTATTTCTATTGGAGGGCAAAAAGGGAGAAAAAGCAGGTTGTTAAAAGTAAAGAATGGTATGACCTTAAGTCTGACTCTAAAAAGGCAAGGGGACAGAACATATTTTCTGAGCCTGTGTCAGTGAGAAAGTTATGAGATGGGATTTAGAAAATTTGGAACAAGTCTCAGCCAGAATCTTGGCTGCCAAAACCACAAGGCCCAACAATGGCTGCTCCTTTCAGTGCTACGCCAACTGCCTCCCGGGTAGCAAATGAACCTGCATCATTCCCCCGTGAAAGTACCTGAGGTTGGGTGGGGGTAAGGATGGGGAGGAAAGAGGGAAGAGTGTTGTGAGAGCAGCTCTGCTTCCCAGGTTGGAACACAGTCCCTTAGCCTTTCATAACAAAATTACAAAGAGTTTGATACAAGTACCTCACAGGTGTTTACAGTTTGGTGGGTCTGCTCCGTCTGCCAGCCCTGAACCGAGCAAGTGAAACCCAAAGCCCGGTTTGCAGTACGTAGTTTGCAAACCACAAGGCAACACCCTTCACCAAACTGGAACCTGGTTGAAGATTCACAGACTGAAGGCTTTCCTGCCACACATCTGGGGTACAATAGCTCGCCCGCCACTCGTTACAACAAGTGTTTTAAAAGCTCAGGAGAAGCAAGTGCAGATATGTAGAAAATGGGCCACTATTGCTAAGTATTCTGCTCTGGCATGGGTTCCTTCTCTGGAGCCACTACAGTGCTTCTATAACTTACATGACCAAGACAATATCAAGTAAGAAGGAAGAGCCTAATTAAGGTTTTCCTATTGTTTGCTTGTTCGGGAAAAACTATGTTAGGCTCTAACTTCCTCTTTGAATAGAATTACCAAATCAGCAGAGGAATAAAGTGTACTGGCCATTGAGCCATGCAAGTTACATGTTGCAGAAGCACATTTTGTAACATGAGTACTTGGTATGACCAAAAATTTCTTTATCAAATGAGTTCCTCCCTCCTTCCTCCTGTTCTTCCCAGCACTGGCTGGTGAGCGGCCTCCCGCGTCTTCCAGGGTTTGTTGCTCCCAGACCTTCCGTCCCTCACCCCACCCACAAAGTCCACTGATGACTTTCTACTTGGGTCTAATAACAGATGAAAAGAAGGCAGCATATTTCTTTTAACAAATGCATACAGCAATTTCTATGTGCTGGACATAAATACCATCAAAACACTTTACAAACATTAACCCACCTATCCTAAAAAACCTATGAGGTAGGTTCTGTTTGCACCTCCATTTTATACATAAGGAAACTTCTCCGCTAGTATGAGGCAGAACCAGAACTTAAATGAGTGTGAAATTAAACACTATACAACTACCTTAAGTAGTAATGTTATGAAAGTGAATGAAGCAGAATTATCAAATTATACTAAGTGCTCTCATGCAAGTATTTATTAAAATGGAGATTAGTTGAAGATTTTAATAAATAGAATTTTTAATGGAGGAGGGTTATTTAGAATGGTCATGTGGACAGGTTTTCATAATGGGTTTCTAAAGTTATAGTTTATGAAGCGTTATGACACACACATATATATACAATAGTAGAGTTTGCCAATCGATATAAATACCACTCCAATTTGTATGCATCTTTGAATCATCAATTATATTTACTTATCTGATTATACAGATGATAAATGTTCATATTTGAAAGACTCAGAAGAGCACATGGCCAAAAACAATAATCACCCAGAATCGCACCATCCAGAAATCATCACCGCTAATATTGCCATACACAGAGTTTCTAGTCTTCTTTCTGTGTGTATATTTATCCATCAGTGTATTGACTTAGCTTTTATTAAATGTGCTCTTTGTGAGAAAGTGATGCATTATTTAAAGGAAAAACTTATACTTTTTTCAGGGCCCCAATGTGACTAAATATTCTCTAAGGATTGTAAAAGTCATAAAACCAATATAGTAAGATTACAAAAGTACTTTTAGAGTAGGAATAAACTAAAGCATTCTTACAAATTCAAATATGCCGTCTAACTGAAGCCACAACGGTGATATATTTCAAAATGTGACTTTGTTAATCATGTTTTCTGCATTTCCCAGAAGCAAAGTTCTAGCATCAGCAGCATGAAAACAATGCTTGCTTCTTAAACTTGTACACCAAGTAGCTGATATGACACTTCCATTAATTCATGATTATTTTCTTAGTGAGCTGATTCCAAAGCTTCTCTGTGATAAGCTAAAAAGCAATACTAATATATGCTTATTCTAATACTGCTCTGCATTTGTGAAACTGTATCCACAAAGGCTGTTATGGTTACTAATCATAAAACAGCCTGCTGAGCCAGGCGTAGAAGAATCCTTTTATACAAGAGGAAAGTGCACACCATGAATCAACATACTGGGTTGAAAATTTGCATGGTTACATGCTATGATATCCAATATGACAAGTGGCTTAAGGAATTCTTCAGCCGAGAGTGGACTCCAACTGGGCTCCAATGTCACAGCCTGGAAGCCAGCTTCCTCCTCACCTTGCCAGTAATTCTGCCATAGGGGTTGTCTGACGGGAGCAAGACCTGTAGAAAAGCCACATTGTAACTTCACAGACACTAAAATAGAACTCTCCTTTATTCCATGAGTCAACATTAAATCAACAGCTTGCTAAACAGAAAAATGTGTGCGTCCTACAATCGAGTCTCTTCGAGCCTGGTAATGCCTAATTTTTCTAGAAACAGTTGACAGATGAGTCAGTTTTCCAAAAAATTAGAGTTTTAGGAAAATTCTCATCATTGGGATATAAATGTTTCTCAAATGCATTACATATTCCTGCCTTTTAAATAGCGCAGTGAACACAGCTTGGCCTTTGCTTGATGACTCACTTTGAACATCAATCACTGTCCAGAGCCCTAATGCCGCCACGCCCCGGCAGCATCTGAGGTCCGCGGGGCGGCTGTCTCTGTTCTAAAGGGCTCCAGACAGCTGTGCGTTTAGACTTCTTCTTCCCACCCTGTCATTTGCCACTTCTCTGCTGCTGTCACTGTGTCCTGAGTCTCTGCTTCTCCTGTGTTGCCTTCCCTTTACACACACCTGCTGGGCGAGGGCCTGGAAGTGCCTCCAGCCACCCCCAAAGTGCAGACCAAGATGCAGTTGATGACACCCTCCCCTCTCTGCCCATGGGGGCGGGGGAGTGGGTCTGAACTAAGCATTGCTTTAGTCCTGACCCGCAAGCCTTGGGGCCCGTTTGCTTCCCAGGTGGGGAACAAGGCCATGATTACTTTTAGGTCACAGGGCCATGGTTACTTTTAGGTCCCTCCCCTAGAAGGTAATCATTTAAAAAAGTCTTTACATCCTAATTAATGGCATTCCAATCATCAACGTCCTTTCCTTCCCCTGAAGTAAGCGTCGCTCCCCCTCCTTTCCGCACGTGGGGTCACCGCGGCTATAACCGCAGCAGCTCAGGGCTCTGAATCAGCTGCAGTGGACACCTAAGCCTGGCTTTGCTGCCTGCTCCTCCTCCTCTGCCGCAGCTGGGGTGGTGCACAGCCCAGTGAAGCTGTCAACATAATTTGCAGAACAGAGAAACATGTGCCTGGCGAGAAGGGTTGTGACTAATAAGGCTGCTGAGTCGGGGGGCCCAAACTAGGACCTTGTGGACACCCCTTCACAGGTCTTTGTTCTCCAGAGGATGTGATTCTGTGGCAGCAGAGCCATGTTAATAGATGGCCCCTCCCTGTCTCATTCCCTCCACCTACTAAAAGAAGCTGCCAAAATTTTTTTTTTCATATTCTAGAAGCCTGTGGAAGGATGAATCAAATAAAGAAATCCCGCTGTTCTGAAAGCGGCCCAAGGGGGCGGGGCGGTTCTGCTTTTCCGGGAGTGGCTCTGATAGGCTCCCGGTCAGGCCCTCAGGTTGTCCAGCCCGGACACTGACTTGGTTTCACCTCCTGCCATGGCTTAAAACAAGCCAGGGTGAGCTTTTTCCAAGGCAAGGTTTCCTTTCAAAAACTGAATTTCCCCACCTTGCCTTCTGTAATTGCAAGCAGAAACACAAATGTGCTTTCATCTTTTTTGTGTATATTATATGCTACTGAATTGACTGTTTAATTGAGAATTAGAGATGATGGAAGAAATGAAAATAGAATCGTTTTAAGCTGTGACCTTGTATGGCCCTTTTCAGAGAAGGAGATGCAGAGCTGCTCCTTGGGCACACTCTGTTCTTTCTCTGTTCTTCGCTCTCCGGGGCGCCCAACCCTTCTCTGTAATCACTCATCCCCTTCCAGGGTACTCTGGCCTCCCACGCGGAGAGGCCCAGAGTCTGAGGGCTGTACCCAGTGGTAACTATAACTATTCCAAAGGTAACAGCTCTTACAGGATTTGGTCGGTGATATTATCATACAAAGTTTATAAAGAGGGGTGGAGGGAGGGTAGATGTGCTTTAAAGATTTTTAAAGTCCTTACCTCGTCCTTGTTGATCAGGCCCATTTTAGACATGTCTATGTTAAAGTAATGGATATTCGGCAGGCTGATCTCCATATCTTCTATCTGGAATGCACAGTAATATACATCACACTGGGCAACTGCGAATCTATCTGCCACTCAGCCCCTTGCCCCACCACCCAACCTCTGTTGTTCCTCTACTGCCTGACACTGTCATCACCTCCTGGTCCTATTATTAGATGGTGCACCCACTCTTTTTCTCTCCATGTGCAAAACTGCCTCTCAGAGAAGCAAGAGCTTCTTGGATCAGAAACCTGGGAGACCACTTCTAACTGGCCTCCTGGGGCTGTTCTGTCAACCTCCTAAATTTCTCCTCATTTCGCTCCCACTTCACCAGGCCTTCCCTTAACATTTGTGGGCCCTGGGGTAAGAGTGTAATTGGAGGCCCACATACCAGATGTCTAAAGATTTAAAAGTTATAAATCAAGCTAAAAAACTGTTATGTGAAATATGTTCTATCCTTCTAACAGCAAACACACCTTCAAAACATCCTAGAAGGCTAAGATCTAATGTGAACTTCTCTGACTCCTTCGAGTGCCATGCCAGGATATGGTAGTATGGGAAGACTCAGCTCCCAGCCCTGGCCCATCCCATCTTCTTTCTGGTAGTCAGGAGGGTGGACACCCCAGCTTGTATATCAAGCTCCATTCACACCTTATGCAAACATCTGACTTGTTCACTCTCAGGCCTAAAGGTGCACACACGGACGGCATGATCTGCCCTCCTGAGGATGGTTCGAGGGATGAGAATTGCTTAGGTTCTAGAACTAGTCTTAGGTTATTTGGGCAGGAAATTCTGGATTATGGGTATCCAGAGAGTGCTCTAAAAGGAATGCATGGGCTCCTGAAAGTCGTCTTTTTGTCTTGGTCTCACTGACTTCTCGTCGGTGGAGAGAAGCACAGCCACGGGAAGGCCTGAGGGTCTCCGCAGTGCTGGCCACGGCAGGAGTCCCTGCTGCCCAGGCGTAGAGCGAGTACTCTTCCTGCCCGTCCCATCACAGCCTTAGTCCAGGCCCGTTTTCTAGGTTTTCTGCAACAGCCTCTCAACAGTTCTTCTTGTCTGAAGGCTATTGGCCTTTCAGAGTGGTCTTTCTGGAGTGCAAATCTGGCGGCACCACACCCTCCTTAAACCCCCGAGTGGCTCCGGAGAGCTTCCAGGATAAAGTGCAGGCTGCAAAGGAGACCACAGGGGCCCTGCGGAGCTCCCCTCGCCTCCCCTCTGGGCACACGGCGGAGTGTCGATTCTTACGTGGAGCTTCGTGTAAGGCAGACCCTCCACAGGAAATGACTGTTCTTGCTGCTTCCTGTCTCCTCACCTACCCTGCTCCCTCACTTCTGAGTGTGAGCCCAGATAAACCCCACTTGTCCCTCAGGCTCAACTCAAACACCTGTCCCTCTAGAAAGCCTGGTACTGTCTGGGTTAGGTGCCTTCCTCTGCATTTCCGTAATACTCTATTCTTTACTGTATTGTTAGTTCACTTATTTTCTTCTTTGACCGAATAAGGAGACCTTTGGAGATAGCAACCATGTCTAAATTATCTTTATATTCCTCATGTTTTGACAGAGGCATAATAACCGTCAATAACATTAAATGGCTGGATGGATGGGTGGACATGTGGATAAAGTCTCTCTGAACCTGTCCTTTGTTCTCTGTATCTCCTGAAACATAGGCTGCTGGTCTAATTCTCTCCCACATTCCGGGCATGTGAATGTCCTGAACACAAGGCTTAAACTGTGGCAGGTTGAAGAGACTCAGGGAGTTTTCAGCAAAACTAAAGAGCTACAGCAGTGGTCTGTGTTTTCAGGCTGGACAGATTTTTCCATTTTTTGCTCTCCTCTCACTTGCTATAACAAGCTTTTGAACAACAGATGTCGTTTTTCATGTGTCTTCCACTTTCTTATTTTAACTCTCAACCCTCTCTCAGAGATGACAGGAGACACAAGTTCTCTCAGTCCATGGAATGGCAAGTGAGGATACGTACCTCGGGAACCTGGCTCAGGGAGAGTACCTGGATGTCAAAGAGGGTCTTCTGGACAGAGGGAGAGTACTCGCCTTTGTCACAGGGTCCAGCAAATTTCTCTAGGACAATGTCCCAAATAGTGTCCCTAAAACACAGAAAAGAGGAGTAAGGACTCATAGGGTGGTCTTTAGAAATGTATATAAAGTTCAGAAACAGTGACCTTCGTGTGCCTCAGAAAACAATTTTAGTTGATTTTAGAAGATATTAAAACTTTGTAATATAAAAAAATCTCACTTCCCATTTCCTTACACATGCGCACCATTCAAGAAACATATTGAGCATCACTCGGCTATCTCCCTGATCTGGTGCCAGGACCCAGGGATGGGACTTCCAGGATAAATCTTCCATGCTTGAAGAACCTACGAAAGAACTCCCAGATACCCAGCTCAGCTTGGCTGTTTCCTTGAATTGTTACATTTTAGGGGCTTTTTCTCTGTGCTGAATATCATCTGTGATTACTTCATTGAATTCTCTCAATACACCTGAGGCAGACACTACTATTATCCCCAGTTAAGAGATGAGGAATCTGAGTTGAAAAGTTAAGTGTCCCACTCCACATCCTTCTCCTTAGTGGGAGGCCCGAATAGCACCCTGACTCTGGCACACTCCATTTTGTACCCTTTTCGACATAAACACATCAGGCCACTGCCCACGGAAAACATGTGAAATAAAAAAGGAACAGGAAATTGAGGTGAGGCTCTCTTTAAGCACTTCCCAACCTATCACATAATCAAAGGAGCAGAGCGAAGCTGAACCAGTGGGAGCAAGCTGCCAGGGGCAGGCTCCGGCCCCTCGTACAGGGAAGTCTAACAGTTAGAGCTGCAGCAAAGAAGCGAGATGCCTGGTCAAAAAGCAAACTCCGGGCATTCAGAGACTTAATTGCTGTGTGTAAGGATATCAATAATCATATCCTTATATTAGGCATTTATCATTTATGAAGTGCGTCAGTGAATGTTATCTCATTTTGAGTTTAGCCTAGGGTGACCAAGTGTCACAATCTGCCTGGGACCAAGGGGCTTCCTGAGGACATGGGAATTTCAGTGTCAAAATCAGGAATGTCCTTGACAAACTGGAACAAGTTGGTCTCCCTGGTATAGCCCTTCCTGCATCTACAATGAGGACAAACGTCATTATCCTCACTTGATACAGAGATTCTTACCATGTGGCTCCTGATCCAGCAGTATCAACATCACCTGGGAGTTTGTTAGAAATGCAAGTTCTCAGGCCTCACCCCAGACCTACGGAGCCAGAACTTTTAGAGGTGGGCCCAGTGACATGCATTCTAACAAGCCTTCCATGTGATTCTGGTAACATAGTAATGTTTGAGAACTACTGATTTAATCAATTAAATGCAGAGGATCACAGAAATTAGGAGGTCCATTCAATGTCGTTATTGCTAACAGCATCTGAGAGTCAAGGGTAGATCTATTAACTCAGAGTAAGACCGTTGGCTTTCCAGTATACAATAGAAGGGATTTTGAACAGTGGGGCAGTTGACTTGAATGGCCTCTAAGATTCCCTTCCAAACTGAAGACTTCATGAACTTCAGGCCCCAGGGACAAGGGCAGACACTACCTGTCCCAGCGCCAGGCCCTAGCACATGCTCATACCAGGTAGCCTCAAAGTCCACATCTCTGCATCGGAGGTAGCGCCACCTGCAGTACACCTGGGTGGCAAAGCACCGGTCCTTCACCTCAGCGAGTGTGGTGAACTGGTCCTTAATGAATCCTTCAAATCCAGACTGGGTCGTTTTTAAGACCTTGAGGTCTTTGATTCCGGAATGAATGACTGGAGGTCCTGTGTTAAGTACAAAGGTAAGAAGGGATGGGGTCATAAAACAGTGATTCTCACTGATCCCTGGCCCTGAGCATCCTGGCTGTTAAAACATGGCGCACTGGGCTTATCCAGAGAACCACATCACTGCCCATGTTTGCTGACCCCCTGCCTCCTCTGCAGTCCAAATGATGAGGATGGTGTTCCTTTCTCTCTGTCTTTTCTCCCAGCCCCTCCTGGCCTTGGAGAACTGAAGGTCAGAGACTATTCCTCCACGCTGAGTTGAAACCCACAGAAATGAATACTGTCCTCTCAGCTACATGTAGGCCAAATGCCTTCCACTTTTTGAGCTGCATCTCATTCAACAATCACGCTGAAATGACTTAATAAGCTCCCACAGAGCAGTTCTGTCTGCTGCTACGAATCCTTTATGGAGTAGTCCTGGTGCTGACTGCCTATCCTGACTTATGGCTCCCATCGCCGCCAAACCCTCAGTTCCCTTGTGGTTATGAGCTCAGCAAAATCAAACAACTTCATGAATGAACAGCAGTGTAAGCCTGGCTGAGCCTAAATAAAGACTGGGAGGGTGAAGCTGACAACACACAGGCATAGATCTGCCTAAGTGCATACCCATGAAGGCTTTTGGGGGTTTTTTTTGGCTGTGGGAGAGGGGACAAAGTTGGTTCATGGGGCCCTGGGGGTGAGAGGGAAGAGCTGAAAACAATGTAGGGGATGATATGGCTCTCCTGCACCCCTGATGTCTTTCTGTGAGGTGAATGGGGGAGGTGGCAGGGTGCCAGGCGTCATCTGAATAAACCGTTGACCTGTGTGCCAGGCAGTTTCAGCTCAGCATCCGTGGGCAGCAGGTGGAGCACAGAGTTAGTGAGGGGAAAATTATCTTTTTCTTTGTGGAACACACTGTAGCTCCAACAGTTTGGTGAAGCCTGAAGAGAACATGGCACCAGGTGACACTGAGAAGTCCACCCCCCCTGTCACGCTCCACCACACTAGGATGCCATGTTCTGTGGAGAACATCATTCTTCCCGAAGGGCAGTGATAAGCTGGCACAGCTAACGCTGAGCAGGGCCAGCAAAGAAGTTGTACCCAATGGTGCCGACTTCTGCTCGAGCATATGAGAGACCCTCAGGCTGTCAGAACAGTGGGACGTTTGCCTGGAGAGGACCAGAAGTTGTGTCATGAGAGAGTTACAAGGCCGGGGAAATCAGGAAACAGCATCGCTGTGGTCTGGATGTTCAGGGGGCACTCTGGTACACACCCCACTAGCACAGTGCCGTGGCGGGATGACTAAGGTCGCCTCTTTTCAGTCCTGAAGTTAGACCTGATTAATATCTAACCTTCCTGGCCTGCTTAGCACATAAATCAAGGGCCAGAAGTGTCAGGCATCACTATGTTTTACACAGTCTTAGTTGAAGAATAAGAATAGAACTCACGATCCACAATCACAATCCAGGGCAGCTCTTAATAATGTAATGTTTTCCATCACCCGTGTGGTTTCAATGGCTGTGGTTAATTCAGGAGCTGAGCTGTTTCAGAAGTAGATAAATGGCGACTGTATTTTGATATTTTCCTGGCCATGTGTGTGCATCTATCAGAGTGGGCAATGGCCAGTGGTTGGTGGTAGATCTGCTGATTAAATATGTATTGATTAAATAAGGCCTTCTGGCCAGAGTGTTCCAGGATAATGTGGTAAAGCGAAAACTGATATTTGTTTAACACTCCAAAGTTCTCGTTGGAAGTTATACATGCAGGAGAATCTAGAGAAAGACACCAGCAATGCCTTGATACTTTTAAGATGTCCGGGTTTATCAGACTCTAGATGTATGAAGACATGGTTCTGAAAAATTGGCATTTCTAAGTGCTGGTCCAAGTGAGTCTAAGTCTCAAATCCAAGAGAATTGCAGAAGTGGTCAGTAAGTACCTGTGGAATCAACGAACGGCCGAGTGAGTGCAACAAGATTGATTCACATCAGGAAATAAGTACCTCAGGACTTAGTGTCTTCTTCTTCCAGACGGTTCTCCTCCATCAGTCTTCACGGTTTCCCTCCCTGACCACCCCCCCTGCGACTCTAATACACAGTGCGGCAGGGGTGTCAGCTGAGGATGCCTTTACTGCCAGCGTGGTTTTAGTTGCTGTCTTTCTCAGCCCTGATCTTACCTGATTCTCATACCTGTTACACGGGCACTGCATTTTTATACAGGGACGTCTAATCATTTGCCCACCGTCACGTGGCTAGGAACCGGCAGAGGCGGAGTTTGAAATCAGTCCCCTTTGTGAGAGAGAGTCAGTGCTGCCTCTCCTCCTTTAGGATCGCTTCCAACCACACAAAGCTTCCTCCTCCCTTTCACTCTCCCCACTTCTTTACAAAAGGCGGCCTTGCTAGGACATAGGAAGGTGGCCACCTCTCATCTCATAGTCTGCTTTGGGGGCTCACGCGGAGCTCGCAGACTGAAAAATACCATCTCCATTGGTCTGAAATGGAAACATCACTTTTAGAAGTGACCCTTATGTATCTTGAAAACTTTTTATTCCTTAAAAATTTCTTATTGAAATACAAAGAACCCCCCTTAAAGAACTGACTCCTAAAACCTTTATAAACTAATATAATCCATTGCCAACATTAATCCCTTTTTTAAAAATCCTGTAGAAATGAAGCAGGGTTTGCAATCAGGAGTGTGGTTAAAACAGTGGTGGGAAGACTTGAAGGGGGATCAAGAGAGGTAAAGGAAAACCAAAGAGGAGCGTTACCTACTGCATCTTTTCTTAGACAGCTGCCCTCGATTGCCCGCCCCCACGTAAGCCAAAAAAGACTCTGGCTCCTCCAACGGCCTTAATCGTAAGAGGGTTCTTGGATACACTGTTTCGTGGCGGTTGAGCCCACAGCCTTGGACCTCAGATTCCCTAACTTCAAATCTCAGCACTCTCCATGCCCCTTCTCTCCAAAGTATGAGCCCTAGTCCCCTGGAAAACTTCTTTCTACCTTGATTTTCTCATCTGTCAAATGGGGACGATGACCTGGAGTTGAGAGATGTCCAAGATAATGCATGTAAAAGGCTTAGTAGAATGGCTGCCACATAGAAAATGCTCTATGAAGGTCTTTATGGTGATTTTCCCATAACTGACTTTTTGTTTTTAGAACTTCAACCACCTGTAAATGTTTCCCATGTTTCACAAAGGCTCGTTGTGTTCTGAAAACTACTTCTGATGTGCAGTCACAGCTATCTCCGGCCCCCCCGATGAGATTTATTGATCTTCTGGGAGAGTCACTCCTGCTAGACCACTTTGAAATGATCTATTTTCTTGCTAGAACTGGAAAGTGTAGAAAGTAGTTGCATTTTTCTAATGTGCTTTTGACCTCAGTTTCACACTGAATAAAATGTTTTATGTTGCTAAAGGCCGTTAACTATTTGCCACAGTTTTGGCAGAATGCAAACCATCTTCTCTTGTATACTCATCATTCGATGCACAAAAACAACAACAACAAATACCTGTTCTCTTTGAATGTGAGGTTTTTCCCTTGGCTCGCATTAGGCTCTCTGGGTAAAATCAGAGAGCTCGTTTTATCTCCTCTCTTGGCAGTGCTCCAGCCTGCAGAACACTGGTAAAAACCTGAGCCTTTCAAATCTATGGACCCATCAACTAAAAATAGGGTGCTTCACACACTCTAAAATAGATTCCAGTTTAGACTAAGAAGAAATAATTCAACCAAAAAACTGTCCTTTTCTAGATTACTTCCCATTAAACCACTTAATCAGCCTTTTTTCTTGCCTTTCTGCCATGGTTATGAAATAATGCAAAAGGAAGATTTTTGCATTTATAGTCTGCTAGAATATAATCTTTTCTAGCTTTTAGTGTCCTCCTACACACTTAACAGATTGTGGTCTATCTCCCAGAGAAGCATACGTCCTACCCTTCAGTTCTCTGAGGAAAAGGAGCTCACTGAGAATTAATCGAACATAAGCCCAATCCTTACCTACGCATCAGGTGTCACGAAGCACAAAGCTTTACTGAGCCAAGAGAAAAAAAATCCTGTCATTAAGAGGATAATTGCTTCCACATTTAACACGTTCAAAAAAGGACACAAATAGCTAAAAGCAGAATATCTTAAAACTATATTAAATCATTCTAGTAGAAAGCCTCAAACTTGTACAGTGCTAGAAGAAATGAAGACCAATTAGATATCGTTTGCCTTTGAGAGTCCATTGAACTCATTTTGCAGGGGGAGCGAAAGTTGTCTGCGTACAGTTCTGGACCCGGAAAGATGACATCATTCAGAAAGAAGGAAATTAATGGGCTGTTGGACAACTAGAAGATAATCATGATGGTTTCTAAAGACCTTGGGTTTGCCAAGAACTCTTCTTTGGGAGGGACTGGAGAGCACTTTATTCTTGACATCTAAAGGACGCAAGCTGCCTTCTCAGCTGTGGCCGTCCCTGTCCTGGGTCTCCCACTTGCCCCATCTCACTTCCATGGTCTGCCCAGCTTGACAGCTCTTCAATGTGTTGTCCCTCCAGACTTCAGTGTCAACTCTTCCTTAAAATCATTCTCCTACTTCCACTAGTTTCCATGTTAATACTTTTTTTTACTACCAGACAAAATAGTCTCTCTTAGTTGAGACCTTATCTCCATCTTCCATTCCTCAACGTAGCTATGAATTTTTATAATTACTGTCAGATTGGGAGAAATTTGATGAGTTATAACTCAAATAGTAGAGAAATTTGGGGCCCAACAGAGTTAAAATTAGTAACTCAACCAGCCCAGTGACTTCAAGGCTTGGCTAAGCTGGTAGTTCACAGAGAATGAAAGACAGTTTGGGAGATCCAGCTTCCACATAACACCTAAACCCACAGCCTGCATCACACATGCAGAGCCGAGCTCTCCTCTCAGAGCTCACGAAGTCAGGAACATAACAGTCCTCCTCCCTTCGGATGAACAGATTCCTTTCTCTCTTCCAGATTCTTCCATAGGATTAGCACACTTTGAGACAGCCAAAAGTATCCTAAATAATGCAATGGGAGTTTAACAGCAATTCTGAGGACCTAAAATGATGTGTGAGATTCATGTAGGCTTCCTATGAATGTTTGCTCAATTGATAAGAATAAATCCAGTTTATCAGAAGAAACCCAGTTACATATTCTGCTGGGAAAAGTCCTGTTTGGGAGTTGCATGGCTGAATGTGTGATTAAGTGCATGTGTTTGAGGGGGCAGAATTCTCACCAACATAGCCAGCCCCCCACTAAAACCCCTACTTAAAAATTTGTAATAACAGACTCCACCTTGTGGGCTGGTGTGTGTGTTTGTGTGTATGTGTGTGTGTGTAAAATAATGATTGTTTTCTTCAGTTAAGCCCATGTAAGGGCATTGATTCAACTCACGTTTTCAGCTCTTAGACAATAAACAAATGAATTCAACTTTGCTGCCCAAAGAGCATGGATCCCTACTCTGCAAAGAGGTGCAGAGTACAAATGTCATCTTCATACACACAACACTGGGAGATATACACACCCCCATACATGTGCACACACACACTGCCCACCTTTAAGGCAACAGATATTTCTGGTCCTACTCTGACCCCTGCCAGCCCCATGGGAAATGAGAGGGATGCTGGATTCTAGGTGAGTCAAGCTGGAGCTTCTGGGAAAACTGCCACAATGATTGCAATACCCTGAAGCTTTGCAGCTTTTTGCAGAAAGAAAAAAGCTTTGTTCTGATTATGGTGACTAGTTTTTCCACCCTGGAGCAGCCAGCTGAGCAGTGCAGGCTGATGATAACTCCTGGAAATTCCTGGAAAGAACAAGAGTGTAAATAGCAGCCGGTTTTCTTGTTATGAGCAGGAGAGCCCTGTCCTGGGCCACTCCACTTCCAGCTCCAGGGCTCTGCTAAAATATTCTTGTGGAAGTCACCAATGGCCTATTAGCCAAACTTCATAGTCTCTCTTCAGTGTTCTTTTAATGAAAACTTAAAAAATATTTTATTTATTTAGTTTTAGAGAGAGGGGAAGGGAAGGAGAAAGAGAGAGAGAGAAACATCAATGTGTGGTTGTCTCTCACATGCCCCCTACCAGGGACTTGGCCTGCAAACCAGGTATGTGCCCTGACAGGGAATCGGACCAGCAACCCTTTGATTTGCAGGTCAGCACTCAATCCACTGAGCTATACCAGCCAGGGCTTAACAGAAACTTCTTAACCTTTCTTGGCAGAGACTGCTAGCTGTTCACTAAGTTATTTCCTCTTCTTCCTAGGTACCTGGCTAGCCTATATTTCCCAACATTCCTTGCAGTCAGGCAGGGCTGTGTGATTGTCTCTTTCCAGGAGAAGTACTATGTGCCACTTTCAGGCCTGGGGTCATTGTAATTATGGTCCACAGTTAATTCTTAAATTTTTGGTGAATAGAATTATACGCATATAAGTGCCACTGCTGCTTGAAGTGAGGTTTATTTTATAGTAATAATATCAGTAATTTTATTGCTATGCAAATAAAATGTCAGGAAAACTTGATTGCTATTCACTTGATATTTTCTAAGAAGGTTATTATAATTAAAGCATGGTATGGTACTCAAAGTACTGGTCAGAAAGTTCAGAGACTTGGGGTTTCTGTCAGTTTGGGCCTTTTTTTTCATACCTCAAAACTGGGTAATAAAAATTACTACTCTACTTAACTCCCAGATTTCTTTCAAAAAGTATTATTTCATTTTTATATTTTTAAGATAAAAAGTAGATTTTCAAAAATGTAATCCATAGTCACAATGCTCATTCCCATCTCAGATTTAAAAGCCTTTTCTATGGTTTTCCTGTACAGGGTCGTTAAAAAAAAACTGCAATTGCTATAGCAGAATCATAGCAAGAAAAATATTTTCTTACCATTCCTCATCTGCTCAACCTCGCAGAAGTGCGTTCCAGTGGGAGTGTGAATGAACGCATGGACGTGCTTAGCTCCGTTCTGAAAATTAGAAAAAAAACATTGTTTCTGTAAAAGTTCAGCATATGTCAGAAAGCCAATTCCTTTCATTAAACTAAGGCACAAATAAATGAAGCAACCTTTTCAAAACGCTTCCAAGGGACTTCTTCCATGTAGACTTGAGCTCTTATAACGTGGTTAAAAGAAGAAAGGAAATGTTCACAGATATTCATAGCAAAAGTTTCTATGCTTTTGATCTGTAAAAAGAAGCAAAATGGCAGTAATCAGAAATACTTGCCCCACTTGAAAATAATTGTTACTGTCCTCAGTGCTCTCTGTTCTGATCAAGTGCTTTCTAGAGTCAGAGGAACATAAAATTAGAAAATTCTTTTTTATTTCCCCCCCCCCCCCCCCCCCCCTCCCCACCCCCCTTTCCACCTTCTTGAGAGATGAATTGGTTGCTATTTCAATTTTTCACAAGGGTTGCTAAATGTAATTAATAAACCACCATCATGAAATGCGACTATCCTGTTTTAAAAGAAACCTGTTTTGTAGATGTGTATAAGCAGTAAGTAACTTAACATTCAGACACCCCTCATGGTGAGCGGAGGCATTGCTTCCACCAGCTACAGTGCTACAGTATACTCTGAAACACTCTGGTCTCTTTATGAGGTTGGCAAATAGGCCTCCCAGTTTTCCAAGGAAAAATGGTAATGAAGGGCCACTTCAGCTTTCTTGCCTTGCAAACAGGCCTTTTATTGACCATCCTCAGCTCTCCACCCCCATAAAGCTGCTCTCTAATTCCAAACAAATTCCTCATATTAATCTCTAGGCAATATTTTATGGTACTCTCATAGTCTACAGATTATTTATGGCATTGCCTATAATTAATATGGTCCATTGGTACAAGTTTCTCCAGCATAGTTCCAACATTTGCGAGACATTTTGTACATGTTGTCCCAGAACATGTATTAATAGCATCCTATTTTACTCTCAAAAGTGTCCTGGTTTGGGAAATGAAAGCACTAACTTGAAAAGATACATACACACCCATGTTTATTGCAGTATTATTACAGTAGCAAAGATATGAAAATAACCTACGTGTCCATCAGTGGATAGTGAAATGTTATTCAACCATGACAAGAATGAAACCCTGCCATTTGTGACAACATGGATGGAAGTTGAGGGCCTTAGGCTAAGTGAAATAAGTCAAATGGAGAAAGACAAATGCTATACAATCTCACTTATATGTGGAATCTAAAACAAACACTAACACAAAACAAATAAAACCAAGCTCATAGATACAGAGAACAGATTGGTAGTTGCTGCAGGTGAAGGGTAGGGGGTGAGCTTACTGTGTCAGATGAATAAAGGGAGTCAAAAGGTACAAATGTCCATTTATAAAACAAATTAAGTCCTGACGATGTTATGTGCAGCATGGAGACTATGGTTAATGAGACTATATTGCATATTTGAAAGTCGCTAAGAGAGGACATCTTAAACATTATCATCACAACAATAAAACATTAAACATTATCATCACAACTCTGTTACTATATATATGGTGACTGCTGTTAACTAGACATATTGTGGTGATCATTTTGCGATATATACAAATATAAAATATAACGTTGTATGTCAATTGTACCTCAATTAAAAAATAAGAACAAAATTTCCTGGTTTGGATGAAAAATGATCTAAAAATAGAATGACTATTAATTCATTTTATCTAAAAATGAATGAATTTTAGTAATTTTTAACATCCAGATTAATTCCTTCACTTTTCTGTACCTCTCACACAGTACAGAAAATGTAAGAAACCTTTTTCCCCAGCTTTCTTTTTTACTGCAGTACAAACACCCATTTTCAATTTATGTTTTCAAGAGAGCCACGCCTTTTCCACAGCCCTGTCTGTGCCTGCTGGGCCATTCTGATTAACAAGAGAAAGGCTGAGGGTGGAAACATGCCTTGCAGAATTTATATTCCAATTATTTTGTTCATTTCATGGGTGCAGATTGCATGCAAAAGCATGAAAAAAGAAGCATTCCAGTACACATTTTTTTCTTCTTAGACTTCTTAGTGAATAAAAAAATAATCTTAAATTGCTCAGAAATCTGCTGCTTCCTTAACACTTAAAGGAACTCAGGGTGAGAGTGCTGATATCCCAGATCCAATCAGTTCCAAGGCCCTTCAAAGAGTATAATTGCTGTCATATTTGGATACCATGTGGTCATGGGGTTGGGAAAATACAGAAGGCATTCAAAGTTGGACAGATAAATTTCAAAATGTATCTTATACTTAAGATTTTCTTCTATAACACCAAGAAGAAAAATGATATTTTCTTCTGTAAGTGCATACCATCTAAAAAGTAAACACTAAGACTCCAAGAAATGCATGACAAAAATGTGTAAATTTCTATTCTGAAATGCTCTCAACACCTTGATTTGCCAATGATGCTAATCAATATAGAACTGTAAAATTCTTCAGTAGGATTCTCTACATAAAAGGTGTGCAAAGAGTTATAATCCAAGAAAAGAAAATAAAGAGATGAGTTTAAAAGACAAACAAACAAATTAACAAACAAAAAAACAGCCAACTTTTTCTGTAAGGCTAGGAATTTTAGAATAGAAAAGAAAACAATGTAAAAATAGGGTAAAAAGCAAAAGGAACTTGAAATAAGCAAGTAATATCACCATGTTATAAAACAGTGAATTCTGCGTTAAGATTGGTAGCATCTAAGAAGGATAGCACATACTCCTTTGAACTTTGCCAAGACATGAACTGTGTTTTTGATGGTGTCTGTAGGGATGATGTCTGAATTATCTCCATGTAGATAATCTTTTTGGGAGCTCAGAGTGAGTTGCACCGAAGTTGCCACCTCTTTAATGCTGTGATATTTTCCATCTCGCTGAATATGGAGAACTTTTACCATATCCTTTCCATAGCCAGTTCGAACAAACTCCACTTCATCATTCTGCAATGAAAACATAATCATCTTATTGAAAAAAGCTAAATGAAAACAGTCAACTGCAATTTCTTTAAGCCTTAATTTAACCATATACAAGTCCTGAAATAACATTGCCTTGTTATGATGTCAATCAGATGCTGTACTAACATAACCCCTATTTATATCCATGAGCTTATAGTAAAATTGACTTCATAATAGTGTCATTTCATGTAGTTCCAAGAGCCTAGCAATGTTAAGTGAGGACTTCCTATAATTATAAAAGGTGAGAATCAGATTATTCATGAAAGCAAGATCATGTCTTACTGTTGAAGAAGAATGAGAACTTTCATGGAGAAAAGAGAACCACAAGTAACAGATAAAACTGTCTCAACTTGGCCTGAAGACAAACAGGTAGGTAGTTTTCTTGATAATAAATAATAATAATAACTGTACCTCATGGTTCAAACTACTCCTTATTTAATCCCTGCTAACTTAATCCTTATAACAGCCCTGAGAACTAATATCATTCCCATTTTATAGAGGGACAAGATGAAGTTCAAAGTTTAAGCAACTTGCCCTGGTTTAAGCAACTAGGACAGATTAGAGCTGAGAAGTCACACTCAGGCCTGTTGACTTTAAAATGTGTACTCCTAATCATTATGGAAACTGCCTTTCTTGTGTAAAACTTTTGTCTATACTAACTGGAAATTATTTCATTCCTTTTTTTACAGAGAGTAATACTCTGAAGAAAATTGCCTGTGATCAATAAAAACAATCTGAAAATTGCTTCTTCCACTTGCTGCCAGGAGGAAGAGTAATTAGAGACAGGGTCCAGATTACCTTCAGGAGTGCAGAAGCAGGGCCATCTGGCTGCAGTGGAAGCTATGTTTTAGCAGAGACACTGATTAAAAGCTTGGCAATTGATTCATTAGTACTCTTGTCTGAAGCTGGAGCCCTCACCAGCAAATATGTCCATCTGCGCTGGTAGGATCCACAAGACTTACCATTTTACTGGTGTTTGAAGGAAGAGGCAGGAGGGACAGAAAAACCTATTTTATTTAACGTTGAAATTGAACACTAAAATGGTCATGAAAGAAGGGGACAAAAATAAAAATAAACCAAAAACAACCTTCGGTGAGACTCTGGGAAGCACACAGAGAAGGAAACGCACCTGCTGGTCGCCCATAGGTGATATGCTCGGATATGTCAAGGGCTACCTCAAAATGTTTGCATAAAGAACTACCAGGTCCCCTGGAAAAATTTGTAAAATTCTAGCCAGCATCAAAAATTATTGTAATATTCTTACTCAAGGTGAGAGATGGGAGACTTTCTTAAATCTTGGAAATAGAGCTTAGTAGGGCATGCTGCATACTCTGAAGATCCGTGGTGTCTGAATTTGGTCCTTCCTCTGGGGGAGGGACATATTTAGGGACAACTCTTAGACAGACCCCTCAAAAATCTCTGAACCAATCTTTGGGGGACTCATCTTCAAGAAAAGCATCGATAAGAAAACAGGAAGAGCAGACTTAAGGGATCCCAGTAAGAACTATAATAGTGACAAGGAAAGAGGCACTGCTGTGTAGTTATAATGGCTCTGGGGTCAGACTGGGCCCAGATGCTGCCTCGCTACTTATAGCTTTGTGGCTGGTGACAAGTAATCTGATGTCTCTGAGCCTCAGTTTTCTTGTTTTCACCAGTGGAGAAAACTACCCCTTTCTGTAGGGTTGCTGGTGCGTGTGAAAGGCCTGGTTCACTTTCTAGTGCCTAGTGGTACAGTGTGGTCAACCCTACTGTACCAGTGGTTGTGTCAGGCCTGGCTGTGGACACAGCAGAGGTGACCTTGAGTAAGGGCACCGGTTTGGGGCGTGGAGAGTGCTACCAACAGCAGAAAGAGAAAGGCTCTTACATGCTTCGAGCAATAAGAGGTTTTACCTGGGGGAGAGAAACAGTTGGACGGCGTGGGACCCCTGGATGGTATGGCTGGGCTTCAGCAGCCAAGGTCTCTGAAATTATCCATCATCCCCAGTGTACAGCAAGACAAGAAATGTTATTCCTCAGTTCCATCCCCTGCCACAAAATACTCGAGATACAGTAGGTTGTCTGTGAAAGCTATGTGATATATACAAAAAAGAAATGATAGCCACACTTTATGTCCCCAGCCCCGCTCACTCTCCAACTTCTTATCTTGCCACAACCTGTCTCAAACTAATTCCACTGTCCTGGGCTAACTGTGCTTACATAGGCTCTGCGTGCCTTTGTGCCTACAGGCCTTTGAATTTGCCATTCCTTCTTTCTTGAACAGTCTTTCTCTTTCTCACTACACAACTACCAGCCTCTTCACTTGCCTAACTTCTAGCAAGCCTTCAAGTCTCAGATGTCACTTCTCCCCAGTAATCTGTCCCAGCCCTTCAGGCCTGGTGTAGGTACCCCCTCCATGGGCTCTCAGAGTAGTTCTTTCTCATTAGAGTTTTTATTAAATTGTATTTCAGTTGCCTCATTTTGTGTGTGATTCGTTCAGGAATGGTAAATTATGGAAGCAGGAACAATTTTTATCCTAGTTGTCACGGCAACCCCAGCACTCAGCTCAGTGCCTAGAACGTGAATAGGTGCTTAATAAATGTGTCATGAATAAATGAATGGTGCACTACCACCTCTACCCCTTGTGTGCTGGCACAAAATAGTTCATGAAAATACCCGAAAGACTTCAATACAGGAAAGGCTGCTTCAGCTCAGACCCTAATCAGGAAGTTCCTCTCCCTGGGAAAGTGGGGAAGGCCCCCTTTTCTTCTGATCGCCATAGCCTGGAGATCACAGGCAGGGCTGGCCAGAGAAGAAAAGTCCAGGAAAGGCGGAGTTGAGTGTAGACAGAATCAGTGAGCAGCACAAAATGTACACATAGCTAACAAGGCTGTGAGTGTCCCAGCAGAGCGCAGCCATCCCGGAGTCCATGCGTGCTGCACTGAGAGAGGTCAGCGCTCCGTAGCAAGCTGCTGACTCAGCCTTGGCACCCGAGCAAAGCTTGCGTAATCGAGTTCACTGAGCAAAGAGTCAGAATAAAAAGAGCACAAGCATCTGAGACTGGAACAGAATAGAACAAGAATGGAGTGGGACCCTGAAGGGTATCTCTACAGCACCTGACAAAACAGATGATGGCCTGGATTGCAGCTGAAGTTGTTTCTTCAATAAGTCTTCCTCATTGCCATAGTCAGAGATATCAGAAGTAAGCGCCAGAACCGCACTGTGCACAATGCACAGTGTGGTGCAGAGATCTATGTCCAAGACTACTACACAATGGAACACAAAGGTCACTTTCATCTGGTGCCCGGGCTCTTGGAGCCACATAGGCCAGGTGTGAATCTTTGTTCTGCAACCTATTAGTTCTGTGAATGGAGGCAAATTTCTCTATTCCCATCTATAAATGGGAATAATACTGGTGCCCAGCCTTGGCTGTTGTGGCTCAGTTAGTTGGGCATCGTTCCACAAGGAGTTGCCCGTTTGATTCCCTGAAGGGGCACATGCCTGGGTTGTGGGTTTGGTCCCTGCTGGGGCGTGTACGAGAGGCAACCAATCGATGTTTCTCTCTCACACTGATGTTCCCTCCCTCTCTCCTTCCTTTCACCTCTCTCTAGATAGATAAATAGAATATTTAAAATAATAATAGTGCCTATCAAGATTGCTGTGAACATTATATAAGAAAAAAAGTACTTAGAAAAGTGTCTGGCAAATAGTAAGTGTTCCATAAGTGTTAGCTGTAATTATCATTGGTAAATAATAATTCTATGTGAAATTTTGCCTCAAAGAGCTCTCGGGGTTACTGTTAGTGATAAACACCTAGACTACACATGAATCCAGGGCCACGGTGGCAAAAATCAAAAACTGCAGCTAAGACGAAGCCTACTTCAGTCTTCACGCTTTCATTGTCCTTCCCTGGCTGGCGTGGCTTGAGGACACAGTTGCGAAAGGACTCTCCATTACCTAGAGTAAAACTCCAAAGAAAAAATCCCCTTTTCTTAAATGTGCTTTGAAAAATAAAGGCATGGGTTATCACTATTTGCCCACAAATAATGTTGGAGAAAACTCGGAGATTTTAAATAAGTGTCATCAAGTTTTGCTTCTGTGATGAGATGGCAACTGTCCTGTTTCCATATTGAAAGTGACGTAGGTGTCACTGCAGGTCTAAGGCCCCTTAGCTTGGAGTCAGTTAACCTCTACAAGGCCACATGGATGGATTTGAGGCAAAAAATATTAGGAGAGGTAACACTTTTACAGATTTAAATTAAAAAATAACTAGACTTTTATCTCATGTCTTGGAAGAACATCCCTACCCTCTGTAACAGAGAGGGATACAAAAGTGCCAGCTGTTTAGGACGAGCACGCAAGGACAAATCTCAGTCCAGCTGCAGGGCGCAGTGGGAGGCGGGGAACTGCTCATGGACCCGGCCTCCCTCTCCTCCAGAATGTGCTGGGCAAGTTCTTCCAGTTGTCTGCCCAGGTTTTTCCCTTGCCTGGCTTTTTAATCGTACATTTGTGAACAAAAAGCTTCAGAGAAAAATGCGAATCAATACAAGAAAAAGGAGCACTCAAATGAACAATATTAATATCACTTAGATGAATTTTAACAATATGGAACAATAAGAATAATAATGATGAATAACAGCCTTAGAGGCAGCTGGTATTTTTTTGGTTGCCTAGAATCTCCTAAATGTCAGACGGAAAAATATTGATATCTCGTAGGAAATGTCATGTTGCTTTCGGCTGTGGAGCAGTCTACGTCTGCTATCAAGGGGGGCTTGTGCCCTGAGTTGTGTTCAAAGGGCGACTCTAAAGGGACTTGTCAAGTAGATGTTTCAAGAACAGTTACTTAATAAAGACTCCATTTACAGGTGTTCAGTTGTTTTCATACTTCTGCCTGTGACAGAGAGAGAGTTATCACTAAGCGCTGGGGGGATGTTAATTTTCTTGCCGGCGTCTCCACAGCTCCAATAGTAATAGGCCAGGGAACTGGAACAAGGCCCCAAGGAGCCTCTGGAATGGGGCGGGGGGCACTGTGAGGGCAGGAAACCCCACAGCAAAGAATTGATGAAGACCTCCAAAAAGGCACTTGGAAGAAAACTTTACTGAAATGCATTCACACTATCTCGTTCCTAATGTATAAGCCTTGCAGATGAAAAAATAATAGTAGCAACCATTTAGTGAGGGTTTGACATGTCAGTAAATTCGCATGTATTATTCCCTCTGATTCTTCACAAAAACTCTGTGAAATAGGTATGTCACCCAAGTCTGACAAAGGAAGACACTAGAGTTTCCTAGTAACTGTCATGGTCACACAGTTGCCCGGTGACAGAGGCAGGCAGAGAACCCAGGCCATTTGGCTCCAGGTGACATGTTTTTTTCCCACTACATCAGAGTCCCTACACCCCCTGATGACAAGCCCTTCTACTTATTAGGGACAGAAAAAACATTCTGACCCCAATAGAAGGCAGTTTTCTGCCATTCTATTGCACAAACCTATATTTCTATACCATTTAAAAATTTTCCAGCCAGTGAGACATTATGTTATCCCTCAGAAAAACCTTGTGATTTGATACATAGACTATTTTACAGATAAACTAGCTCAGAGATGTTAAGTGAGCTGTCTGAAGTCTCACAACTGATAGGCAGACTGGCATAGTAGGAAAAGCACCGCTGAGACTGAAAAGTCTTATTCCACTTCCACTACACTAAGAAGCATAACTTACCCCACACTCAGAGATTCTCCCAGCCCAAACTATCACTGTTTCTAGCACTTCAGTCACTGTTCTCAACTAAAGGGAAATTCTAAGCTCAGACAAATTCTGCGTTTATTGCAAGGGTGTTTAGGCTATGAAGCTCTCTCCTTAGAGAGAATCAAAGGATGGCTGCCCTTTGGGGCAGGATGAAAACTTAGCATCATGCCTTTAACAACAGGGCAAAGCACTATGTTTGAATTGAACATTGGCTTTTATCTGGTTAAGGACCATTACGACATGAATGATGCAGGCTAATCTGTGGTCGTTAGAACCATATTAGCAATGGACTGTGGTCCATCTGTAAGGACAGAGAAGGTAAGGAAGAAAAGGAAAGAAGGTAGGAGGGAACCAGCATTTAATGAGCACCAGTTACATGCCAGAGGCTATGCACACAGCATCTCGTTGACTCCTGGCAGCACTCTATGAGGGTGCGGATCGTGAATCCCACCTTTAGAACAAGGACCTGATGTTCACAATGTTAAATAGTTTGGTCAAAACTGTATGCCCAGGGAGAGTCAGGGCAGGCATGGAACCTGGGTCTGCCTGATTATTTTCACATTATCAGGCTATATTCCTGACACAACATTACAATGTTCTTTATAGTGGGATTTTACCTACCTACCTACTTTTATTTATTTCTCTCATTCATTCTAAATTCACCTCACCCCAAAATAGAAGTCTCTCAAAACTTTTTTCATTTAATTACTACATTCGCCTATATTTATTTAGCTCCTTCCATGTGACAAGCACCATGGGAAGTTCCAGAGATACAACAGCAAACATGGTAGACACCTTTCTGCCCCAACAGAGACTGTACACTAGAACACACTTTTGTAGTGAAGAATCAGAGAGTTAGTATTGTATTTTGGGCTTTATAGGTTGTATGATCTCTGTTGTAACTACTCATCTCTGTCATGATAGCACAAAGTAACTATGCGTAACACATAAATGCACGGGTATGGCTGTGTTTCAATAAAACTATTTACAGAAAAAAAATGCTGAGCCAGATTTGGCTCACAGGAGTTTGCTGACCTCTGATCTCTTCAGTAACCACCAGAAAAGTAATCAAGCACTTAGAATACATTCTGACAATCACTCTACCTAAAAGAATACAGTGAGCTCTGGGTCTCTCCTGCAAAGACACTTAAGCCAGATTGAAAGAGATGAAGGATGGCTTCCAAGAAGAATTGTCATTCACAGAGCCACCTGAATAATGAGTAGGAAATAACCAAATAAAATCTTTCTGGCCCTCTTTCACTGATGTCTTCCTCTACCCACATTTCTAATGAACAATTCTTTACTTTATAAATATCTGAGTCTTTCTGCTTGCCTCATTCCTTCTCACCAAAATAACTCAAGTCCCCTCCCCTTCCTCCCTCAACAAGTATGTCATCTTTTTTTCTCAGTTTGTCCCAGGCTAGATTTTACTCCATACATGAACAGTCTTGTAAAAGTTGGAACAAAAAATAAACTTGAACTCAGAGAAATTTTATGGTATGTAAACCATACCTAAAAAGATGATTGAAAGTACATGAAGCCAGCAGCCTGACTTCAAGAGTCCTTATAGGATGATTGAATTTTGATGACGCCAACACAGACCAAGGGTTGGAAAAATTTGACTTTATCTCACTATCAAAAAATTCTCACAGATTAAGCTTCAAGGAACATGAGCTCACTGCCCCAAATCAAAAGTACAGAAGGTAGCAAGGAATCATGAGAGAGAGAGTTGTAGAAACAACAGATAGTAAAGTGTGACCTGCAAAGACTTCAGATATTGAAATGATCAGACATAAAATATAAACATCTTATGGCAAATATATTTACAGAAATAAGAGAGAAGATTGAACTTATCTTCTTGAAATAGAGTTAATGTGGCTTCTCTTGAACAAGAAACAAGGGGCCATAAAAAAGATCAAGTAAATTTGAAAAACAACCCAGTAGAACTTCTAAAACTGCACTGACAAGTGGATTAAGAAACAGATTAAATGCAACTGAAGAAAGAATTAGTTATTTGGAAGAGCTACATTAAGTAATAGATTAATGTTGCCAAAGAGAGACTGAGAGAGCTGGAAGATAGATCTAAATAAAGAATCTAGGATTAATACAGATACACAGGAAATAGAATATATGAAAGAGACATAAAATGTACTAGAAAAATACAATAGAGCAAAGGTGGAAGAGACACAATTGAGATCAAGACTAAGATTTTCTAGAATTATTGGATGAATGAATATAAACTTTCAACCATAAAATAAGCTCATTACCAAGAGAAAAACTCTTCCTTGTTCAATACACTTGGCCAAGTTACAACGAAGGGATTTACTACTATTTTTAGAGGTGATCATGTTGTGAGACAGAAGTGTATTTTGATAATGTTGTATTTCTTGGGCTCAAAAAGTTGGTAATATTGTGAAAAACATTCTGCCAAGTTTGCATTTTCTCTCTCCACAAAATTCATTGTGTTTCTGTCCACAATATTACTTTGCTGTTTTTAGTAGAATCTGGGACACACTGGAATCTAGGCTTAGGGTGATGTTGAAACCCCCGGAGCCTGGAGCTCCTCAGTGTGCAGGATGGTGTCCGGCACCTAGTGATGGCATAAGGGAGGTTGTTGCCTGACAATCGTATGATTGCATCAGCAGCAATTGGAGATAAGAAAGTTTTCTGAAAGAAAGTAACCTACCAGCATTTTTTCAAGCCTTGAAATAAAATTAGGTTTAACAAAAACCATCTTTATGCAGATGTACCCCAGCCCAACCATAGCAAGGGCTCAGGCTGTAGTAAAAATAATCATCACTAATATTGCAGATTACTCACTATTTGTCAGGCGCTATGCTAAGCATGTAATGATGAGAAAGCAGAAATTATTTTATATCTTATTTAACAAATGTTTAGCCTACCTAACAAACCAAATGCTTATAGTTAGTCTCTATGTTCCCTGAACGCATCACTGAATCCTAAGCCTGACATACTCTGCTATCAACACTGTAATACCAAAAGGTACCACGAGATAAATAAAATTAACTTTATTTTATTTTAACTTAGAAAAGTAAACCTCATGCTATGCAAAAATTTTTTAATTGATAAAAAAGGTTGGGGTGACTGAGATCCTTTTTATCTGAATGCAGCAAAAATTTATATAAAACAAAATAATACCCATAAGGGAAGGTTCATAAAAATGTTTCTTGGTTTACCAATTTGGTAGGTTGTGAATATATCAGATACAGCATAGTTTGGGCCTCAGGACAGCGAGTCTCAAAGTTTAGGGTACACCAGCATCACCAAAGACCTTGTGAAAATTGTTATGCTCCTGGGCCTAACCTGCAGGGTTCTGATTTAGCAGGTTGGAGTTTCAGGCCAAGAATTCCACCCTTTTCATAAGTACTACATGAAAATGTGAGTGGGTGGTCCAGACACCCCCCACGAAACTTTTTTCGGAGAAATAGCACCACAAGCCCTCCCTTTCCTATGAACCTTGAGGATCCTGAACAACTCGCACTGAAGCAAGAATTGAGCCTGTTCTGCTCTGGTCTGGGTTCTTGAGTCTAGGGATGAATCAGAGCCATAACGATTTACAGGCATAAGGTAAACTGCTGTATCAGCATCTTTAATAATTGATTCAAAAGCGTCGTGCACTTAAGAAATTCTTTTCATATGTCTATCTACCCTATTCCTCCTCCAAGAAGAAAAAAGTCTCACCTTATTGTTGTTATGGTAATGGGCCATTTTCTCTTGGCCTTCAACTCCAGATTCAGTTTCAAAAATGAGAAAGAGTAGTTAGGGCAAAAGAAATGCTTGTAACATTTTTTATTTGACCTGAAGGGTGAGCGGTCAGTATGTTTACCTGATTGCATCACAGCCAATGGGACACAAGGCCACGTTAAAGTACAGCGTCATGTTGAGTGGCTACAACCAGGAGGTGGAGCGCATATGTAAACATGTTTGTTAAAATACAACTGCATCTACTCTTACTTTGAGTCAACCCCTGAAATATCCTTTTGGAACTGTTTCCTTAAGATAGATCTGGCTGATGTGGCTCAGTGGATTGAGCACAGGCCTGTGAACCAAAGAGTTGCCAGTTCAATTCCCAGTCTAGGGCACATGCCTGAGTTGTTGGCCAGGTTCCCCAGTAAGGGGCACTCAAAAAGCAACCATACATTGATGCGTCTCTCCCTCTTTCTCCCTCCCTTCCCCTCTCTAAAAATAAGTAAATACAATGTTTTTCAAAAGAGTACATCTTTGTGAAATTAAAAAAACAATAATATTATAAATGATAGCCACTAGTTATAACTAAGCCATAAGGTCTTGTCATTTCTGTTTAATGTGTGAACCATAAGCATTTGCTCTCATTTACAGAGAGGACAATGGTGAGGAAAAACAAAACAAAACATGAAATATATTTAATCCAACATCTACTTACCAACATGGAAATTCCCTATCTACTGAATTTTATTTTACACAACATTTGCTTCAAAGAGTTAAAAATATACCACTTTTTTCTCTCCAGAAATTTTGATGACTTTGCAAACTAGTCAACAATTCAGCACAAAGGCATCCGGAGTCACGCTGGCATGTTGTGACTGAATCATCAGGCTGCGTGAGATTCGTCCCATCTGAAAATGCCCGAACCATGAACACAGAGGCAAATGAAGTCAAATGTCAAAGCCAGCACTGGCTGAGAGAGACTTGCAACTCAGACTCCACAGTCTGTGGGGAAAGTTTTCTGCTGTGCATGGAGTAGAGGCGACAGGCAGAAAATGACAGCAAGTCTTCTAAAAACAACCCTTGCTTTGCTCTTGCTTGGCCTCGGTGGGTTCCTGGAGGCGACAATATCATGCAGAAATGAAGAAGGGGATGCTGTGGATTGGTAGGTAAAAGAAATGAATGGTTTGGTGCATACAAATAGAAAGCCAGAGTGTCAGATGCAAAATGGTTCATCGAAAAGTTCCAAAGGAGACTTCTACCCCACATCTCTGCTTAAGAAGAAAGGAAATTAAAGAAGAGAGGAAATTGGTGGGCCAAATATTCAGATAAAGGTAGGCTTCTGAGAGAGGGTGCTTCCTCCTGAGAAAGCTGAGCAGCCCCTGTGGTCCTGCCCCACTGCTTTCATGGGCAAGGCTGGTCGCCACAGATGTCGGGTGGAGCTGAAACTTCTCTCAGTTGGCAGTTTCCTTTAATTGCATTGTGGCTTTGCTAACAGAACCCTTTCAACATCCTTCTGGAGACTGTCAAAGGAGAGAAGGCAGATTATTTTCTTTTTGCACTGGAGCTTATGCTTCTCGTATGGCAATAAGAGGGCATGATTGTACATAGTACTGTGTGGTTAATCTTTATTAGGCAGCACAAGCAGCTATTGGAGTGGGGAATAGGTCAGAGGCCTCTTGAACAGTCTCGAAGCAACTAAGCAGCTTTGTACCATAGTCACGGGTCCCCTAAAGCTTTGATCATTTTTTCACTCTCTAATTAGGGCATTTTGGTGTGCCATTACAGTTGGCATCAAGCTTTGTATAAACTTCAGGCTAGAAAACACAGGCACGCTCAACTCAGTCTCTTAGCAAACAGTTGCTAACCCACAGCAGGCTCTGTGCTGAGTCTTAAAAATGCAAATATGGACAAAACATAGTTCTTGCCCTCAAGTTGCTCATAGTTACATGGTAAGGGCACAGATGGGTCCCTAGGGAGCATAGAGCCCAAAAGGCTTCTCTGAGGAAGTAGTTTTGAACTCAGTTTTAAGAACAAATGTAAGTTAGAAAAACAAGGGAGATGCAAGGGCATCTCAGGCTAGTGAAAGAGCAATGACAAGGTCTGGAGGCAAAAAACAAGGAGGAGAGTTTGGAAGAAGTTCAGCACCGCTGGCACTTCAGAAGAAGGTGAGGAGATGGTAGGAGGTGAGCTTAGGGAAATAGGCAAAAGCTGGGTTATGAAGGGTTTCATGTACTGAGCCCCAGAGTCCGAACTTGACATTGAAAGGGAGCTAATGAAGGACTTCAGGCAGGGATGCGATATGGGCAGATTCGTATTTTGCAGAAAGCCCACTAGCAGTACAATGAAGGCTGGCCAGCTGGAGACCAGTCTAGAGTCATTAAGGACCTTTGCAGCATTACAGGTGAGAAGCGCTGTGGACCCAACTTAGAGAAGGGGTAATGGAAATAGAGAGCAGAGGACACTCTGAGGAGACTTGGTAAGGAATTGGCCAATGGTTGTAAGAGACCAGGAAAAGAATGACTTTTAGGTTATTGGCTTCTGTGACTGCATGGATACATCCCTAACAGCAAAGGATGAGGACATTTGGAGCAAAATATCACAAACTTGGTTTCAAAAATAGGGAGATGAACTTTTCTGGAACATCCTGGCACTTAGGTTTATCTGACCTCAGCATAGAGGTCTGGGCTAAAAATCAACTCGGGAATCTTCAGCATATAATTGGAGATAGTCACTTGGGAAAAATACTGAAAAGCATCGATTCCCAACTGCTGTGCCATGGCACACTAATGGTTTATACACCCTTCACTGGTGGGCCACCAACTTGTTATCAATATTTAATATTTATCCTTGCCATAACTAAATGGACAATGGCCAAGCAATACTGGTCAGGGGGACGCTGAGCTGAGCAGACTGTCAAACTGTTGCAACTTACTGAGAGAGCTAAAGGGCAGAGTCATATTTGGTTAGCACCAAAGAATAACTTGTTGCTTCCTGCCACATGAGAGGGCCTTGCCTTGAGAGTAAGAAAGCATGGTCAGGACAGGAGAAAGTTTACTTAAATACAAGTAAGACTGAAGAAAACCAAATAAGCACTGAGATGCTTTTATGGGCAGCTGAGACACCGCTGTGTTGTAATAGTGAATTCTTTACAATGTATTCCTACCGAGAGCGTTTGAGGAATAAAGTTGGGGTTTGTGCCATTAGGGAGTATTTGGATAGGCTTGGGTGATTCTGCCCTCAGGAGACTTCTAACACATCTGCAGACAGTTCTGATCGGCACAACTGGGAGTAACACTGGCATCTGATAGGCGGAGGCTACAGCGCTCTGGACAGTCCCCCACAACAAAAAATGTTCCGACTCAGAAGGTGAATGGAGCGTATTGAGAAACCCTGAGCTAGGTGATCCCAACAAGCCCAAATGCTGTGTTGGCCCCAAACCTCTGCTCCCCAAAGGAAACGGAGGTAGTGGGAGAGGAACAGGAGACAGTGGTAACGGAAAGCAAAGCACTTACTTAATTAACTGGCCTTGGCCCTAAATTCTCAGTGCAGAGCATTCTGGTAATCTGAGTTGAAAAATGTGGCTTAAGCCAGAGGCTCCACCTACCCCAAAACCCACGCATAAATCTCAGACACAGCCAACCAGTTGTAAAGATGAACATGTCAAGAACTTAGGGCAGAAGAGAAAATCACATCAAAGACCTTCCAGCCCAGGCCTGGGCCTTGGCCTCCTCCTTGTATGTAGCCGTGTAGACCGTAGAAACAACAGACAAGGCCGCTCTCAATATACACGCACTGTTTACTACAGGAATCCCACCCACGAGGCCCAGAATACGGCTTAGAATACGCCCAATGAGATTCACGGTTCCTTGTCTGGGAACGAGCAAGAATAAGGGTGGGAAAAAAGGCTGAGCTTGAGCACATCCCTTTCCTTAGACTTAGAGGCCTTTTGTGAAATGTAAGTGAAATGATATATTTAAGTGCTTAACATGCTGGCTGCCACCAGGGAAGCAGTCAATAAAACTAATTGACAATTATTTCCTTTGTTAGGTTTACGTTTTACAAGTTACCTAAAAGGCAAGACCAGGAAAGTAGAAAGACTGGGTTAGAGTACCTATATCTAGACTCTACAACCAGAAGCTGGAGGAGGAGTAAACAGCTAATGAATACCACTGAGAGTGCTCTGGGAAGAACATTAGGACAGCTGTACGAAGCATATGCCTCCAAGGTATGTTACGGTTCATTATTAATTTGAATCATATCAAATGACCAAACAGAACGCAAAGCTCCCAAAAGATTTTAACCACTCCCTGACCCAACCCCCAATCTCAGCGACTTGACTCACAATCTGCATCACTCCGAGCGATCCCGTAGGGAATAGGTCGTCAGACTCCACAGTAATGCCAGATTGTTGGTACATTCAGCACCATGTCCAATGGTATCACTGGGCAAGATGTGAACTAATTACATAGGGAAGTTTTCTGGCTGCCAAATTCTGCCGATTTTTTTCAGTGCTTGCTATCTTATCCCTCTAATGGAAATAGGGAGCAGAGACCTCTCCTGTTACCATGCCGTGTAGATCTTTGATGAGTCTGTCATGAGTTATGGGGATGTTTATGCCATGCTGGTGACGAGTGGTAGTTACCTGCACAGAGGGTCACTCGGTCTTCCTCTTAATTAATCTTTTTCAAAATGGTAGGTCGAGGGCTGGGACTCTAGTTTGAGACCCTAGAACTAACTTTCTTAAATGGAGATCAAACCTGCTAACTGGACCTCATCAGGCAGTGAGATAATCGGCGAAAGAGATAGAGGTAAGTAGGCCTGCTGGCCGGTGTGGACAGTCTCCTGCTGTTCCAGGCCCCGTGTGCTGTTCAGCAACAAGACACTGCTTTCCAACCAGATGTGACGGCAAAATCAAACAGTAAAATCCATGTCCAGTTACACCTGGTTATGCATTTTCTAATCAACAACGTATAGAGAAGTAAATCTGTAAAATGACTCAGCACTTACAATGTGGTGAACCTATACTGACGGTAACTAATTTAACTCCTTACCATAATGCTGTGTTAGACTCTAGTACTGCAGAACATGAGTATTTATTTGCTCTAAAGGTGCAGAGAGCTGTCACAGTGTACGCTGATGCTCACTTTTTCACCTGCCATTAAAACCAGCTTTCAGACCAAGTTACAAAGTCAAAACTTACCTGTCAGCCGGTTGAGTCCCTGTGGTGTGCCAAGCACTTCTGTGCCAGGCACTTTAAAAAATATTTTATCTCAGCAACAACTTTGCTTTGAATTAATAGATTATTGTGTAAAATCAAAACTGCCTGCGGCTGCTTATGTTTTCCAAGGTTGGGGCTGAGGACCCGGAACACAACTCAGCAGTGAGAAAATACACTTACATGTTCCCTTCTCCATCTCAGACACTGAGGGCTGGTGTTGGTGGGGGGACGGGTGGGGGAGGGGAGGGATGACATTGTTAAGTCTCTGTCATTTACCTTAGTTGGGGCAGATAGTTCTTAATTTGGCAGAATATAATAATGATCTTTGGAGGCTCGGGAGAGCAAGAGAGCTAAACTGCAATATATATGAGGGGTAGGTGGGAACTAGACATTTAAAAGTATAAGAAGCCCAGAGGAGCCCTAGCTGGTGTAGCTCAGTGGATTGAGCACAGGCCTGCGAACCAGACAATCGCGGTTCGATTCCCAGTCAGGGAACATACTGGGGTTGCAGGCCGGTTCCCTGCAGGCCAGTTCCCAGCAGGGGATGCACGAAAGGCAACCATACATTGAGGTTTCTCTCCCTCTCTCCTCCCCCTCCCCTCTAAAGATAAATAAATAAAATCTTAAAAAAAAAAAAAGAAGCACAGAGGGAACTGGGGGCAGGTCAGCTTGATAATGTCCAATCATCCAATGTTCGTGCCTTCTGTAAAACCTGCTCATACACAACGCTTCGCTGATGAATTCTAAGGGAGGAAAAGGACAGTAAAAGGTTGATTTCCACGTCTGATTGGCATGGAGCGAAAAGAAGAAGAACAACAGTGAGTGATATCCACATGAGATTGGGTGCTTTTTGGACCCTGTGCCAGAGTGACCATGAGAACTTAACTCTCTACCTCCTGACCTGGAATTGAACTTCTGAGAGTAGAATGCCAGATCAGACCAATTAGTTTTATACCTCAAATGTCGAGGTGACCTCAGCCAATATCTGGATTACACTTAAAATGTAAAATTGTTTCTCTTATTTTGCCTTTGTAGATAACAGCCTTCCACACACCTTCATAATAATACTTATCAAACTATTACGTGGCAGTGGCCTGTACTTGCCTTTCTATATTCCTTGCAAGGCTGAGAACAGAGCCCGGACCCATCTTGTTCAACACGCAGTGATCAACACACTCCCCAACACATGTGCTAAAGGGATAACGCTGTCCAGGGGCATGTGCCTCCATCCGCCTGTTCGAAAGGCCCAGATCTTTCTCCAGATCAGAGAGCCTCTCTCCCCACTAGGGCTACAACCCCTACACCTTAGCTAGCTGTTCAAGCCTGGTTAGAATAATACATGTCATCTACCATAAGAATAAATTTCCTCATCGAATCTTCCCAGAGCCCCTCCGCATTGCACCCCAAAGGCACACAATGGCCTCATCACCACTTCGCTGCAGAGGAGATGTAAACACCAACCGTACCTGTGGTCAGTGACAGAAAGTGAGAGCGAGGAAACAGCCTACTTTCCTGATATTCCTAAACACAGTGGCCAAGAATGCTACAACACACAGATTATGTGGCACACTTTTTTACAAATGTGTGTAGACCTCATCAAATAATTAAGCAACTGTAAGAGATTCAGTTATTGACTATTTTTCTGAGACAAAAGCAAGGACCTTTTCAACAGAAATGGGTTGTTCTTTCCTGCTTTTAATTATGTTGCTGAGATTATTTTTTTAAAATCGACATTATTGACTTCAATAAAAGTCACTGCTTCATGACACAAACGAAACGAAACTGCACAGAACAAATATAAGCAAGCTTCTAAAACATGACACTGTGATACTCTCAAAATAATAGCTTCTCTTTGACTCAGAGATTTGGCCAAGTGTTTGGAGAATTTATTAACATTTTCCTTTCCCAGAGGAAACCAATATCACACATTCAGTTTCACTGCTTTTTCTAATCAGGGAATATGAAGTTAGAAAGGTGAAGTAATACGGAAAGGGACTGGAGAAAAACCCTCCCTTGTCGGTGAGGTAGAGGGAGCAGAGAACGAGAAATCCTGACTAAACACAGGCCTACGACCAAGCAGCACGGCACAGAGTAGGAGGGAGAGCCAGCGCCTGACAACCAGTTCTGTGTTGTCCCAGTAACAACAGTGGGGAGGGACACAGGGATGATCCTTGGCTGGTTGTCCTACTTCATTTCCTGAACAAATATTGAAGTACTTTATAAAAATTATACACTGGTTGCCAAATCAGAAACATGGGTCCAAGACAACCGAGAATAAGAGGAATATCACCCCCACACACGGGACACAATGAATAGGGCTCCTGTCTCACAAGACAAAGCCATACAGGCTCAGAATGGACTTCCTGTCACTTGTCTTGTAGGTCTCAGAATTTTTACTGATGGGGGAGCTGCCTACGAGGGCAATGGATTGCTCCCCACATGTATTAATGAAAGCTCTGCATTGCAGGCTAGGCAGCTGGTAGAAATGTTAGGGACATTTGTACGTGGAAGATTTACACCATTATAACCCTAATATGTTCCTGCAGAGCAACGACACCGCCTATGTAATGTACAATGATGGAGTCCCTAAATCTGTGAATTACAGCAGAAAATACGGACACGCCAAAGGTATGACGAAGACTCAGTTTCCCTTTCCTACTGAAAATCAGCATTTTCTTAAACATTCCATCTTGAATATTCTTATATTCCACATTAAAAAGATAGCTTTTGTTTTTAATGCTTTGAGTTATCAAAATATGTGATTTCTATATCACAAGTTATAATTACATAATTTGACTGGGCAATTTCTCCTTCACAAAGGCCCTCGGAATGAGCCTTGATTGCTGTCGTCAGGTGAATGGAAGGGATTTAGCCAGATGGTCAGCTACAAGGACTGGCTGTGACCACTGACCGCCACCCTCTGCCCTATTCGGAAGCTCAGCTGTGCAGGGCAGGGCGGTGGTGCTCTGACCTGGACTGTAGCTTCCAGTGTGGGGGGCAGGCTCTGGGGTTTTCCAGGTGGTGCAGGTCAGAATCTCCCCCCGCCTGTGTTCTGCCCAGGGCCACCCTGCCTGAGCTACAAAGCAGTCTGAGATGGCTGCTACTTGTGGCTGGGCTTAGAGACTCCCAAGGCAAGCCAAACTGTGGATTTAGGCTGGCTGCTGTTAGTGCGGGCCTGGGGTCACTTAGCAAGGGGTACAAGGACTGGGGCTCACTGAGGCTGGCTATTGCTTGTTTGATAGGATATAGGAAATTGTCAAATATGAGCCAAGACCAGCCATTCATATGGAAAAGCCAGTTAACAGCTTGGGAAGGAGTCTCAGGGGATCTCCAGAGCAGGGCAGTGTTAGCCATGTTGATAGAGTCTCAGATATGGTACCTGACTGCTGGCTCTGTGGCTCGGTCAGGGGATGGCTTAGAAAAGGGACGATGGCCTCTGCCCACCTTTCTGTCTGGGAAAAAGCTGTCCCCCAGCTCCTGCCTTGATGCCAAACCCTTCAGTTCCTCTCTGTATGTCACTGGTGCCTTCTAAAGCTGCTACCCCAGTGCTGGTAGTCAAAGGGAGAGAGTCTGAGTAAGTCCCTGTGTGGGTTCCTTAAGGGAACTGCTAGGGACACCAAAAGTTTCTTCTACCTACTTAATCCCTCTACTGCAGGTCTTAATTCTACATGCACTGAGAGAGCAATAGTGTGCTTTCTTTAAGGGAGTTTTTGAAAGAGAAATAACTGGCAGGCATTTGGTTTCTGCTTAACAATAAGGCAAACATGAATAAACTTTATGTTTGCACAGTCATATGAAAACTAGAAAGTCTTGTTAGCAGATCAAAACCACCTTGATTTGTTTATAAACACAAAATAGTCAGAGATGCTCATTCTACAGGGTTGTTTTGTCATGTCACAAGATGATGGAAATCTTTGTTTTCTTCCTTTCTGACTTCCATGTTATTTTGCTCTAGAGATTTTTACTAAAACACAATTAACTGGGATGCTTTAGCATGGCTTCCTTTTTTCCCTTTGCTTCTTTGTGTGTGTGTGTCGGCGGATGCTTTCGGAACTGGGTAATTCTTCTGCAAATAAATGAGCATCCATTCCTTACAACAAATAACTGCAAGTACATTTCTTCATTTGATATTTTCTCTTTCAACTCTGCTTTTTTTGCTGGCTTTTGAAAATAACTTAGCTGCTTAGCAGTGAAGACCTAGCTAAAGCTTGCCAGGTGACTATAGTTTTAACAAGGTCAAATTCAAATTTAGCAAATTTGCATTCTGTCAGAACAAATTGTCTTTGTGGTTTCAACATGAAATTCCTGTGGATTCCTAACTCGATGGCTGCCCTCGATCCCACTTTCTGGTAGCTTATTATCAGGAACGGGGTGATGTTGATATGTGCCTGAACTGGTTTAGAAATCTTGGAAAAAATTGGTACGATCCTTGTGATTATCAGCCTAATACAATATTAGCCTTGAAGGCAGGGCCAGGGAGATCAATGAAGGGAAATTGGGACAACTGTTACAGAACAACAATAAAAATATATAATTATATATATATTTATATATACATATATTAGCCTGAAGTATAAGTGGGCTTAAATTTTGTCACTCTGAACTCTTTTTAAAAGGAGCCTTGTTTTTCTAATGTATCTGTATTATCTGTATCTTTGGCAGGTTTATTGCTGTGGAACAAAGTCCAGGGATTCTGGCTGATTCATTCCATCCCCCAGTTTCCTCCAGTTCCTGAAGAAGGCTACGGTTATCCACCCACAGGGACACGCAATGGACAAGCTGGCATCTGCATAACTTTCAAGTACAACCAGTATGAAGCAATAGGTAACATTAGAGTGTGTACAAAAAGAGACAATAATATTGGAGAAGGGCTATATTAACCTATTGGGCTATAGTAATAAATTTGTCACTACATTTGCTTCTCCATTCATAGACATTCTGATCCCTACATTCAAATGTTGGCTTTGCCACAGGGAGACCTGGGGCAGACTCACTTACTGGACCTTGATTTCCTGATCCTTCAATGGATTCCATGAATTTATTCAGGGGTAGTAGTTTCAAATATCTGCAGGGGCCAGGCAGGTGACAGAAATGAGGGAAACAGGTGAATGTTGCATGGGCAGTGTCCATAGTAACAAACTGAGGTGTTAACTCTCCACAGCTTCCTTCAAAAGCTTCTGCTCCAACGCATTGTAGCTCTGCAGGGATGCAGAACTAATGGCTGCAGGTGTCCATATTTTATAAGAGGAAATAAAATCTAGGGGTGTGTATATGTGTCTATGTGTGTGTGTGTGTGTGAGAGAGAGACAGACAGACAGACAGAAAGAGAGAAAGAGAAGGAAAGAGATCCTGCTTTCTAAATATAGTCTCAGCCCTGGCAGGTGTAGCTCAGTGAATTGAGTGCCAGCTTGCAAACCAAAGGCTCACCAGTTTGAATCCCAGTCAGATCACATGCCTGGTGGCGGGCCAGGTCCCCAGTTGGGGGAACATGAGAGGCAACCACATGTTGATATTTCTCTCCCTCCCTTCCTCTCTCTTTAAAAATAAATAAAATCTCTTAATAAACAAATAAATATAGCCTCAGTCTTATATATATATTTTAAAATTGTGCAGATCTCATATTGCCTGTAGGGTGCCAGCCTGACCCTTCTGAACCCCCAGGTCTCAAGCCCAAATAGCCCAATTACTTGGGTTTGGAAAACTATGCTAGGGGAGGTAAATAGTTAAAGAGTGGCTTGCCCTTAGATAAAAGAGGTTTAGAAATGTTTTTCATCCAATTTTCATCCTATGACAAGGATTTCTGAGCCTAATCAAACCCCAGTCTAACTAGTGGAATTCCTGTAATGATTAGACAGCCGAATTATATGGAGCTCAGGTGTGCACATCATGGATTGCTCATTCCTGAAGCTGGATGACTGGTACGTGGGAGCTCTCTTACTTTTGTATATGTACATATAGAAGAAAAACATATGCCTGGCTTTGAATATCAACTCCTTCCATTACAAGCTTTATAACCATGAGCATGTGACATGACTTCTCCATTAATTCTTCTATAAAGTGAGGATAATAATAAACTCAATAATAAGAATGCTGTTAGGATTAATTAGTAAATCCATGTAAAACTCACAGAACAATGCCTGCAAAATAGGAAGGGCGCAATAGGTCGACTATTTTAACACAAAAGTCATTTGAAAGCAATTGGCTTAAAGAAGGAAACACTTTTGTTCTACTTTTTAACTCACACACACACACACACACACAAAAGCTGTAATATGAATAAGATTTCCATTTGTATCTTAATTCTCAATTTTTCTCTATTATGGTTTTTTCAGATTCTCAGCTCTTGGTCTGCAACCCAAACATTTATAGCTGTTGCATCCCCGCTACATTTCACCAAGAGCTCGCTCACATGTCCCGACTGTGTACCAGGCCCAGCGCCTCGCAGATCCCTGGCCGGCACCTCACCTCACTTCAGTCAGCCCGGGGACTAAACTTCCTCCATTTTGCAAAGTCTGATTCTTTTCTAGAGGGTATGAAAGACCATCATTTAACAATACACTATAAACTCTGCTGTTGAACTCATTTGGGATTGTGCATAAGAAATATTTTGATTATTCAAGAGAAAAGAAGTAGAAAATGGAGGGAAGAACATGTTTAGACACCAATATCGTCTCTGTAATAATAATAATGATGATTTTTATTTGCATATTACTTTAGCATTTACGAAATGTTCTCCCATCCACTATCTTAATTTGTTGTTATTAGTGTATTTGTGACGTTCACATATCAAGTATGAATGATGATTTTCATTCCCGAAGATATTTTAGAGATTTATCTAAATATAAATGCTAATCTCATTATCTCTTTCTTTATAAACTCTAGACATCTTTGTGGCCTGGATGGCTCAACATTTGAAAACACATTTGTTAACTGAGACCTGGCAGCGAAAGAGACAACAGCTTCCTTCCAACTGTTCCCTTCCTTACCACGTCTACAATGTCAGAGCAATCAAGATATCTGGACAATCTTATTTCAGTTCTCATCAGGATCATGCCAAATGGTGTGTTTCCCAGAAAAGGACCAAAAATCGCTGGACATGTATTGGAGACCTAAATCGAAGCCCCCATCAAGCCTTCAGAAGTGGGGGGTTTATCTGTACCCAGAATCAGCATATTTACCAAGCATTTCAAGGATTAGTTTTATATTATGAGAACTGTAACTAAACCTGGTGAATGGACATATATACTATCATTTTCAATATTGACAATGGATCTTCTTCCATTAGATTCATCCTTTATATCTTAAAAGCCTATGAATGTATGTATAATCCAAAGATTATCCAGTAAAACACTTTTCTCCCATGTTTACCATTTATCTTTTAATTAGTGGCTATTTTATCTACTTTGCATTTATTCTCTAAGCATAAGCTACCATATATAACTAAAATAAGAATGAAAGAGAAGATATTTGCTCCAGATTAGCCCACTCCCAATTGTTCAAAGACTGACTGGCAATCTTGTGGATTAAATTTCAGCTCCATCACAAAGACGTCTCTGACTCTACTACCCACCTTATTTTTTTTTGAAAGGAGAAAACATCTCTTTTTCCATGTACTCTGTGCTGTTTACCCTTACTCCTTTTAAATTTCTTTCTCATTTGTTTATGGTTAAGCCATGTCATTCTTGCAGCTGCTACTTCCTAATTGCATGATCTTGGATCATTCACTTGAACTCTCTGAGCCTTAGTTTTCTTACCTATGAAATGAAGAAAATAAGCCTGGCGCCAAGTAGGCAATGCTAGTGGAATTTTAATCTGAAGTCCCACACCCACCTAAAAAAGACAAAAGTTTAAAAATGAGTAATATGCTTTTAAAAAAAATTCTAAGTCAGATTAGGAGAAAGAAAAAAAAAACAGTATCTAAGTCCAGCCCATCAACTTAGGGGAAATAAAAAAGTGTAATATAAGGAACCCAGAATCAAACTTAATAATTTTAATTCTAGGATGTTTCATTTTCTATAATTTTTATCAGTAAGCATAACTATTATATAAATTATAATAATAAAGCAATATAAAGTACCAGTTGCTTAATAAAATTTGAGATATGGTTTCCAATTTTAAGAAGCTAACAATCTAGCAAAAGTAATCACAACATCAGGGAGGACTGCAGAATGACATGTTTCTTTTTTATTTTCAAATCTATTTTATTTATTTATTTATTTATTTATTTATTTATTTATTTATTTATTTATAGTAGTGTCTCTGCCTGTGCTTTAGCAATGATAGCTGGTGGCCTTGAACACCAGAAAAACAGTGCTGGGCCTTCAGGCCAAGCTTCTTAGGCTGTTACCATTCCCATTGCCAAGAACACTGTTCTGATCAGATGTGTCTATCCCATCCCTCTCTGATTTAGTGGCTTCTAACAAAATTGACATCCTGGCATTCTGAAAGAATTGACCTAACAACTTCCAAAGTGTCTCTTTCATCCTCATGGAATCAGTCACTTTTTCTGTAACATGTGGCTATTGACCTTGATGTTGAAGACTTAACTTAGCCCCACCCAAAAAGAGGAAGGTTATTGCTTCCCTCCCCAGTAGTGGGAAAAATGAACCTCACTGATATTTCCAGTGTCTCTTCAGAGGTACAGAATTTCAGTGTTATAGTGTGACATTTATTAATTTTTTAAAAAATTTCATATCTGCTACTAAGACACTACTAATTTTTAATGATTATATAACACATGATTTGATGGGGATAAAGCAAGTATAAACTGAAAGGGGTCAAAGATAGATGCAATCATCTATACAGAGAAAATAGACTAAAACTTGCAGCTAAATTATATATAATCTGGTTTTTGAAGTATCAGATATTCAGCAATACTTTTAACACCTTTATTTTTTTAAAGATTTTACTTATTTATTTTTAGAGAGAGGGGAAGGGAAGGAGCGAGAGAGAAACATCAACATATGGTTGCTTCCTCCTGCGCCCCCCACTGGGGACCTGGCCTACAACCCAGGCATGTGCCCTGACTGGAAATCGAACCTGCGACCCTCTGGTTTGCAGGCCATCACTCAATCCACTGAACCACACCAGCTGAGGCTTAGCACCTTTTTTTGTTAAGTGCCTTGATTTAATCACTGAAATTTAACACATTTTCTTATTTTATTGTGATTTTTAGTGTGTATTCTGACCCTAAACTGTGTGTTATGATGCAGTATGCCAGCCACAGTCATAGCATATGTTTTGTTCCAATAACAGAGACAAGAGTTCATCAAATATGGTTTAGCTGCTGCAGCTGTGTGATTAAAAACCATTTTAATCACACCAATTTTCCATGGCCCAAATAGTCGAGGCCTGCCATTTGTTTTCTACTTCAGGTTTGAGTAAATGTGCACTTTTAATCATATGGGTCCTTTGGGAGCCTTGTGCTTTTATACTTTGTTTTATTAATAAAGGAACTTGTAGAAACAAGCAAAAAAAACTAATCATAACAATAACCAGAACTAGTACTTACCAAATATTAACTATATAGTAAAATTCAACCCACATTTTAATATTTAAAAATGTTTCAATGATACTAAACATAAATATTATTCTACATTTGTTTCAGGTGTATGGCAGAGTGGTTAGACACATACAATTTATAAAGGATCCCCCCAAAATTCCAGTACCCAGTTGGCACCATATATAGTTATTACAATATTACTGACTACATTCTCTACGCCATACTTTACATCTTCGGGACTATTCTGTAACTACCCATTTGTACTTCTTAATCCTGTCACCTTTCTCACCCAGCCGCCCAGTCCTCCCCCGCCTGGCAGCCATCAGCCTGTTCTCTGTACCTCTGAGTCTGTTTCTGTTTTTTTGTTCATTTATTTTGTTCTTTAGAGTCCACATACAAGTAAAATCATATGGTATTTGTCTTTCTGTGACTTATTATACTTATCATAATGCCTTCTAGGTCCATCTATTTGTCACAAATGGTAAGATTTTTTCCTTTTTATGGCCATGCCCATATAGTCAATTAATAAATGACAAAGGAGGCAAGCATATACAATGGGGTACAGACTCTCTGGTCAATAAATAGTGTCAGGAAAATTGAATAGCTACATGTAATAAAAATGAAACTAGATCAGTTTCTTATACCATACACAGGAACAAATTCAAAGTGGAGTAAAGACTTAAATGTAATATGTAAAACCATAAAACTCCTGGAAGGAACCATAGGCAGTAAAATCTCTGACATTTCTCTTAGCAATATTTTTTTTCTGCTATAACTTCTTGGGCAAGGGAAGTAAAAGAAAAAATAAACAAACAACACTGCATCAAACTAAAATGTTATGCACAGCTAAAGAAACCATTAAAAAATAAAAAGGCAACCTACTGAATGGAAGAAGATATTTGCCAACGATACATTGTCGAATGATATTTGCCAATGATAAAGGGTTAATATCTAAAAATTATAAAAAACTCTTACAACTTAACACCAAAAACAAACAGATAAACAAAAAAACCAAACAATTCAATAAAAAGAAGGCAGAAGACCTGACTGAATACACATTTCTTCAAAGATGACATACAAATGGCTAACAGACACATGAAAAGATGCGGAACATCACTAATCATCAGCGAGATGCAAATTAAAACCACAATGACCTACCACCTCACACCTGTCAGAATGGCCATCATTAACAAAGCAACAGACAAGGTTGACAAAGATGTGAAGAAAAGGGAACCCTAGTGCACTGTTGGTATCAATGCAGACTGGTGCAGCCACTGTGGAAAACAGGATGGAGTTTCCTCGAAAAATTAAAAATAGAACTGCTTTACGACCTAGCAATTCTACTTCTGGATATTTAGCTGAAGAAATCCTAACAATACCGTGCAGTAAGAACTGTTATTACCTTAACATTTTACTGATATGGAAACTGAGGCCTACGGACTCCCAAAAACTTGCCTACAGTATCACAGAAGGCTATCTGACCTGTAAGGCTCTGCTTGTAACCTCTATTCCAAAAGACAGTAAAAGAAAATGATGCAGTAGGGGATAATTTGTATCTTGATATCTCTATAACAACCGAGGCTCACGAGACCTACTGGCACTGGCTTAATGACAGGCGGAGATAAAGCTAAGTTTATCCTCCTGTCAGAAGCAAGCATAAGGTATGGATGTGTTGAATAAGTTTAAATACTTGAAAACATGAAGAGGCTAAAAAATATGTTTTGGCCTCTCAAAGAGCATCTGAGTATAAACAATTATAATAAAACAGTATTAAGAGAGAAATACAAAATAGAAGATCCTGACTTCAAAGATGAAGAGTTTCAAAATTTGATCCTATAGAGAAGAATAAATGAAAATGTAAAAGAAAGCAAAGGTGAAGAAATTCTATTAAGTGAAAAATGCTCAATAAATATGAGCCTACTTTCCCAAAAGGCAAATCCACACTTTCTAGAAAAGTATTTTCATTCCAAGCTTAGCAGAAGAGAATCAAAATCAGGATCCATAGAATAAGGAATATAGAAATGTGACAGAGAGAAGAAAATATTGACTCAGCAGAAATGCATATTAGAGATGTGGTTCCTTCTAAAGCGGGAGACAGGGAGTGACTAGCCCTCTTATCCCCACCCCTCCTTGAGGAAGGACAAAGAAACGCTAGAAAGAACTTAAACTGCCCCAGTAGTTTAAGGGTACCACATACCTTGGGAGGAAAAAATTATATCTTGTTGTTGGAAGTTTCCTGTGGTGGAGCTTAGAGGCAGCAGCAATAAACCAAAGAGAGCTAGTATTGCTATCCTTCTCAAGCGCATGCGCAGGAACGCTACCCGGTGATACCGTTTCCTACAGTGAGACTGGGATGCATCTTTAGGAAAATGATATTATTGGACAAAAACTGAAACATTTGAGAATACAGGGGATGGTTTTGTTGATTCTCTTTGGGTGAAATGAGAGGATATGGAAAGATCTATGAATAAAATTTAAGTTCTAAACTATGGTTTAAAGTAAGTCTTGGAATGAAAGGCTCATATTTAAATGTCGGTTTGTCTTACAAAAAACAATAGGATGTGTTTGGCTGGACATCACCTAAAGTGATAGTGGAGAAAAAAATTAAAAACAAAAAAAAACCCCTATGGCACTGATTAGAGTGGACGGTGACAGTTCTAACATGAAAATTACAAATCATTTTTGCTATGCCCTCATACCCTTCTTAGAAAAGTTATTTTCCACAATCTGTTGGTATCAAGTGATGCTTTCCTCTTCAATTCCAAATAAGTAGGCCAATAGTGGACATATGACACCAAAGAAAGTAAGTCATAGTCTAAGCCATAGCTTACACCAAGGCATCAGATTTGAAAAAGAGCT